GCCTCCTTCTCATTGGTTCTTCTACCTCAAGACACCTCATCACTGGTAAATACAAGATGCAGCTTCTGCCCTGATTGGCTGGACTGTTGCCAGGGTAAAGGCCAGCATGGTGCTTTCCCAGATGTGGTCTCCGTCAGGCCCAGAAGATACACACACCCCCATTCAGTGTCTCTTGACCTTCCTCCTACCCCAGATAGTCTCTCCTTCCTCTTGTGGTTGCACAGTAAACAATCAGCCCATCCAAGGGTTCCCTGGAGACCCAGAGGGTTTTCATCTTTGCAGTGTTTTAGCCTGCTAAAGTAGGCTTTTATATACTCCATGAAGGCAAAGTTGGGGGAAATCAGCCCTTGATAATCAAGAACACACACATCTCCACAAGACCAAGCAAGGGATCATAGATTGTCTAACAACCTAATCCTCTGAAAGGCACTGATGCTGATAGGTAAGGCTTTGCATATAAAGCAAATGTATAAGAATGAGTGGCTTGCTAGGCCCCAGCTGTTATCGGTCACCACTGTGCCTGAAATTCCACCACCAAGATTTATTCCTTTATGAATTTTCTTCTCCTGAGACCCACTATTAAAATACAAAGAGCCCCAGATCTGTTCTGAAAGACGTGTGGAAAGGTTTCTTCCTGATCAAATGTGTTCAAAGACACCAACAACATATTGTGATAGGTGGAGTCATCACCCCCAAAGATGTCCATGTCCTAATCCATGGAACCTGTGGCAAAAGGGACTTGGCAGACGTGATTAACATTCAGAACCTTGAGATAGACAGGTTATCCTGGATTATCTGGAAGAGTCCAATATAATTACATGAGCCCTTAAAAGCAAAGAGATTTTCCTGACTGTCAGGGTCAGAGATGTGGTGACAGAAGCCAGATCAGACAGATGCTATGTTGCTGGCTTTGAAGCTGTAGGAAGGGGCTCACAAGTGAAGGAAGTGAAGGAATACTAGTTAATGCCTCTAAAAACTGGAAAAAAGGAAACAAATGCTCCCAAAGGGCTTCCAAAAACACAGTCCTGCCAACATCTTGTTTAATCCAGTGAGGCTGGAGTCAAACTTCTGACTAACCAAACTGTAAGATGATAAATTTGTGTTGTTCTAAGCTACCAAGTTTATGGTATTTTGTTACTGCAGTATTGAAAGCTAAAACACCCTTTCCCTTAGAGATTCATAGTGCACTTCGGCATATTAAGGGCTCTAGGGAGACTCTCAGTAAAGATACCCATTGAAGTAAGCATTTCAGAAGTTTATTTGAAAACCGAAACTTTATTCCCCTATAACATCTACTAGCATCTTAGAATAGGATGTGAAAGGTGAGCCTGGGTGGCTCAGTTGGTTAGCATCCAACTTTGGCTCAGGTAACGATCTCAAGGTTCACAAGTTGGAGCCCTGCTTTGGGGTCTCTGCTGACAGCTCAGAGCCTGGAGCCTGCTTTGAATTCTGTGTCTCCTTCTCTCTGTGCCCCTCTCTCCCCCGCTAGTACTCTGTCTCTCTCTAAAAAGTAAATAAAATATTAAGAGAATTTTTAAAAGAATATCATGTGAAATATACTGTATTCAAGCAAAAACTATTATTAACTTCTTAGTGTGACTTAGTTCATGTTTTCTTTTTCTTTTCTTTTTTTGAGGGAGAATGTGTGCACTTGTGCACGAGGTGCATGCTCAGGAGCGACTGAGGGAGGGAGAAAATCTTAAGCAGGCCCCATGCCCAGTGTAGAGCCCCGCACAGGGCTGGATCTCCTGGCCCTGAGATCATGACCTGAGCTGAAATCAAGAGTTGAAGACTTAACGAACTGAACCCAGGTGCCCTAGTTCATATGTTTTCTTCTTCTTTTTTTTAATGTTTTTTATTTATTTCCGAGAGAGAGGGAGAGAGGGAGAGAGAGAGAGAGAGAGAGAGACAGCATGAGCAGGGGAGGGTCAGAGAGAGGGAGACACAGAATCCGAAACAGGCTCCAGGCTCTGAGCTAGCTGTCAGCACAGAGCCCGACGCGGGGCTCGAACCCATAAACCATGAGATCACGTCCTGAGCCGAAGTTGGCTGCTTAGCCGACTGAGCCACCCAGGCGCCCCCATATGTTTTCAATGTGATAGCTAAGTAAGAGAGTAAGTAAGGGACACAGGATAAACAAGTTTTGAGGGGCCAGCATAGAGGTCTAAAGAAGTGTGACCTGGGTACAGGAAGTCAGTGAAAAGAGCAGGGAATGGGGAGAAAGTGGACACATACTGAAGAAAAACTTCAGCTGCTCCACAGCCTGTGTTGTTGTTCTCAATAGTTTGTGCCAAATCTTGCCTATCAGGTTTACCATATTCTCTACAAAATTTGTCCTGACCTCCTCCTCTCCCTCAGGCCTGGGCCAGAAGGTCTTCCTATGTGTCCCCATGCCCCGCTGTGTTCATTTACCTCTGGTTATGGCAGCAATGTACTGAGGTTGCTTGTTTATGTGTCTCTCCAACCAGCCTGAAGTTGCTAGAAGACAAGAGCTGTGTCTGATTCATTGTTCAGATCTTCTGTGTCCCACCCATGCTCAGCACATTGAAGTATGTCAGGCCGAGCCTCTGTCTTACCCTCTTTGGACCAGAAATATATATGAGCTTAATCATGACTTCCCTCCTGATTGGTAGGTGCTATTGAGACCCAAATCACCCCCCAGTCACAGTCCAGTCCAACAAGAACTCACGTTCCCAATAAATCCATACAGAACCTCTCTTGAACTTTTTTGTTATTTTTTTAATGGTAGATTTTGAACCAGAATGTGATATATCTCATTTTTATTTTTTTTATTTTTTTATTTTTTAAATGTTTATTCATTTTTGAGGGGGAGGGTGCAGAGTGCAAGTGAGGGAGTGGCAAAGAGAGAGGAAAACACAGGATCTGAAGCAGGCTCCAGGCTCCAAGCTGTCAGCACAGAGTCTGATTTGGCACTCGAACCCACAAACCACGAGATCATGACCTGAGTGGAAACCAAGAGTCGGATGCTTAACCGACCGAGCCACCCAGGCACCCCGTCATACCTTTTTAAGAAACCTATCTCCCTTCTTCTCTGGTGAAACAGAGTTTAGCTTGAATGTGTTCCATGTTGTCCCAAAGTTTGTGGGGCTACAAGCAAAACTGAGATCAAAAGAGTGAATGCTACACTTCCAAGATGGTTTATAGGAAGCAACAGAAAATAAGGAGTTGTAGATGTGAACAGGACACCCTGGGGAAAGGAAATGAGGGATTAGGTCATTACTGGTATGAGGTGAGAGTAAAATGAGCCAGAGAGATAACCCCATATATCACCTCTTCCAGAATCCAGGAAGTCTTCCTGGATCTAGAGGACTTAGAAGTAAAGAGAAACCAAAATTTCCTGTGGGGAACCACCCCTTCCCCTCTCTTCTCCCAAGATGAAACACATGATTTGGGCCTGAACAATTAGAGCCCTGAATCTGCTCGTTCCAGAGACTGGGGGCAAGTGGTTAAAGAGAGCGACTTCTGAGTCTGAACTTGAACCTGGAAGGACGAAGTCCTAGAGCTGTTACTCAGTGGAGAATGATAATAAACTAATATAAAGAAGAGCAGAGGTGAGAAATGGAGAGGGTCCTAGGCCTGATGACACTACATGAGTCCCGGATTAAGTGTCATCTGAAGTCTTTTATATATGAGCCAATAACCCCCTTTTTCTTAGTAAGTCCGTTTCAGTTGGATTTCCATTCCAATGCAATCAAGAGTCCTGATGGTGGTCCTGATGGTGCAGAAGAAAGAAGAGCTTACATAGCATGAAAAAATGGTGGAAGAGCAACCAGCTGGCTCAGGTGGTAACGGCTGCTGACTCTTGATATCAGGGGTTTAAGTTCAAGCCCCACGTTAGGTGCAAAGATTACTTAAAAATAAATTCTTAAAAAAAATGTTGGAGAAACCTGAGAACCAAAAGGCAAGGAGTAGTGAACACTACTCCCAGCTCCCTACTCTAGGAAGGGCCACCTCTCACCACCCCCAAGTTCACAGGAAGAGAACTGCTCTGTACCTGGGTTTGTTCAAAGAATCGCTCCCCTGGCCACAACTGAGCCCGCCATATTTTCTTCCTTAGGAAACTGGAACTGGGACTGAGTCCAAAGCCAGCGGAGGCTGGTGTCCTGAAGGGGAAAAGAGGCCAAACCTTGGCAGCCAAAGCATAGATAGCTGCATTTTCAGCCTGTGGACCGTGCAGTAGAGAAAGGCAATGCATCACATTATAGATGAGGAAATTTGAAGATCAGAGAGTGTATGTGATTTTGCCTAAGGCTACACACTTGGCACGATTTTTACATAATTAGAATCCAGCTTTTCTGAACTCAAAGGTGAGGCAGGCAACAGCTGGGTCAGAGCGCCCTAAGCTGTGGACCTGTGAACAACTTGAGTCAGACAGCGAGGAGTGATCACAGCCTGGCCAGCCACCCAAGAAGAGTCCAGCCAATTACAAGCACTCAAAGATATCTCTCTGCTCAAAACATCAAAGAAATTCTGGTGCTTAAAGTGTCCCTCGCTCGGTTCAGAGACTGGCTTTAAAGTACTCGCACAGAGGGGCGCCTGGGTGGCTTAGTCGGTTAAGCGTCCGACTTTCGCTTAGGTCATGATCTCGCGGTTCGTGGGTTCGAGCCCCGCGTCGGGCTCTGTGCTGACTGCCAGCTCAGAGCCTGGAGCCTGTTTCAGAGTCTGTGACTCCCTCTCTCTCTGACCCTCCCCTGCTCACGCTCTCTCTCTCCTAGAAATAAATAAAAAAATATTTTAAACAATTAAGAAAAAAATAAAGTACTCGCAGAGAACACATACCGCCTCAACCTGCGCAGACTGACCGGCCACAGATTGTCCGGAAACTACAACTCCCATTATGCATAGCGACTGCGTGGGCTAAACCCGGGATAAACTACAAGCCCCAGAATTCCTTGGGAGAAAAGACGCGAGTACGAAGGGACGGAGGGGCGTGTTCACGTCGCCCGCGCGGGACCGTTAAATTTGAAACTTGTAGGGTTTCAGGTGGCTGCTTTGCGAAGGAGTCAAGTTGCTAGCTTTTGTCCTTCTTATCTCTTCGTTATCTCTAAGGACAGGTTTCAGAAGGAAGAAGCCCAGGCGGTCTGCGTCCCTGAGGGAAGATTTGCGGCAGAACGAGAGCCTGAACCGGGAATGCAGGATGGCGGCGATGAAGAAGGAAGGGGGTGCTTTGAGGTAGGTCCGCGAGACAGGAACTGCCGGGAGCTGGGCCTGCGAGACCCGAGGGTGCCTAGTCGGTGACAGAGGCTCTCGATTTAAGAGCGGTCCAGGGGAACACGGTCGGGAGAAGAGTGGGCCAGACAGGAGCCTCCTTCCTGCTGGAGTCGGACGCAAGGGGTGGAGGTGAAACGCTGACCTCAGTATGGGTGAGGGCACGTGAGAACTCTCCTGCGTCCAGCTTCAAAGCAAAGGTGGCTGTGCGACCCCATTAGTACAAGGAACTTGGAATTTGTAGTGTGGTCTGTGTCTCTCAGCCCAGCCATTTGCTAGCTCTTTGACCTTGGGCGCATCTTAATACGGAAAGTGCTGATGAATTCAACGTGTTTGCAAACTAACTGCCTCCAAATAAGTGCCCAACAAGTGGTAGGTGCTTCCGTGTCCGTGGCGTAGTCAGAAATCTAAAACACCTTTCTCTGCGTGCTTGTTGCTTTTCCTTATATAAATATCAGCTCTTCGAGGTTGGAATTCTATATGCCTTTTCATTATGGGGTCCACAGTGCTTAGACAAATGCCATACGGAGACCTCTTTAACTCATGCAACAAATATTTATCGAGCACCGACTAAGCTCTAGTATGGCAAATGAACGAAAGACACAAAAACTCCTGCCCATTTGAAATTTAAGTTCTGGGGTGGTAGCAACAGACAATAACGAAGATCAGTAAACTGGATGGTAGATAGATGGTCAGTTCTAAAAGAATTAAAATGGTGGAGAGTAGGGGGTTGGTTCCATTTTAGATACTTTTGAACAGGGGACCTCACTAAGAAAGTGTCATTTGGGTCAGGACTTGAAGGGAACTCAAGAGCTAGTGATGCATGTATCTGGGAGGAAGTACAGAGAATTGGGGGGTGAGGGCTGGGGGGAGGGAGCCGCATCTGGCAAGTATGGCTGGAGCCAAGTAAGCCAGGAGAGTAAAGGATATGAAGGATAAGGTGAAGGGGAGGATGCAGGCATTCTAAGGACTTGGCTTTTACTCGGGTTTGAAAGTCAGTGGAAGGTTTTGAGCAGAGGAAAGTCAGGATCTGATATGGATTTAAATAGGATCATGGGCTGCCTTGTTGAAAAGACTTGAGGCAGGAAAGGATGGAAGCAGGGACACCAGTGAAGAGGTTATTGAAATAATCCAGGCAAGGGAAGATGGTAACTTGAGCCAGACTAGAAACAGTGGAGATGAGAGGTTGCTTCCTGGATCTGTTTTGAAGGTAGAGCCAACAGGAATTGCAGGCTGACTGGAGGTAGGGTGGTAGTAAGAAGGGTGTCAAGGTGGGCACTGAGATTTTTGGCTTGAGTAACTGGAAAAATGGAATTGCTACTTGAGATGAAGGAAAACTGTGGGAGGAGCAGGTCAGGAAGAGCAGGAAAGGAGAGGAGCAGTCCCAGCTCAGTTTGGGACAATTAGTTGAGATAGTTTAATTGCTGTTTCAAGATGAAGAGAAGAAATTCAGAGGAACTCAGCAAACATTTATTCAGCGCTTACTAGTGTCAGATCCTATATTAGGCCATGGGGATATAAAACTAAATGACACACTGGGTCACTTGGGTGGCTCAGTTTGTTAAGGGTCCAACCTCAGCTCAAGTCATCATCTCTCGGTTCATGAGTTCGAGCCCCACATCTGGCTCTCTGTTGTCAGCACAGAGCCTGTTTCAGATCCTCTGTCTCCCTCTCTCTGCCCCTCCCCTTCTTGCACTCTTTCTCGTTTTCAAAAAACAAAACAAAACAATAATAAACAAACAAAATGGCACAGCCCTTACATTTATAGGATTCACATAATATAGTTAAAAAGTTGTGAATAGTTACAACTTTAATCATTAATCACTCACAGTTTACTTTGTTCAGTTCTCATCTAGACTGAGGTCACACATAACTTTCACTTTCTTTTGAAGATGAGTGCCTATATCTGTTTCACTGTTTTAAACTCAGAGATGATGTCTCACAGCCAGAAGTAGACTTCTATCTGAGAAGTGCAGAGCTCTGAAGTTCTGAGCACACACCCCATATGGTGATTGCCTCCAAAAAACTTGTGGGAATTTCGCCATCAATAGGCTTAATAGAATTGGAGGGGTGGGGACCAGTTGTGATCACTAAATTCTATCTTTGTCTCCTGTTCCGGGAGATATATATTCATTCCAGTTTCAGTTTTCATTAATCAGTTGAAAGAAACATGGGATATTAGCCCAACAAACTATTTGCTAACTTTATATTTTTTTTGGGAAAAAAAAATTTTTTTTACATTTATTTTTGAGAGACAGAGTACGAGTGGAGGAGAGGCTGAGAGAGAAGAAGACACAGAATCTGAAGCAGGCTCCAGGCTCTGAGCAAACATTCAGCACAGAGCCTGATTTGGGGCTCAAACCCACGAACCGCGAGATCATGACCTGAGCCCAAGTCGGACGCTTAACCGACTGAGCCACCCAGTCACCTCTATTTACTAACTTTAAATGAGATGATACATTAGTGGTAGGCATAGAACTGTTTTTTGTCTACCTTGCCAAATTTATAAGTTTTTCCCCTTCTTTTCTTCCTGCCTTAAACTTTACTCTTATAACTGTCCATAGTATCCTGGTCATGCTCTCTCTTCCATAAGGCAGTATTACAGCCATAAACTTGGAAACCAGGTCACAGAAAGGCTTAGAAGCTTAGATGTATAAGAACACTACTTCTGTGCCAGCCCACCATATTCAGTCCAAAGATCATGAATAATCACTTATCTGAAAGCATTTGTAATAATCTAGTGATATAATAATGTAATATTAGTATGAACTTTACATTTGTTTCTCTCTTCACAGTGAAGCCATATCATTGGAAGGAGATGAGTGGGAGCTGAGTAAAGAAAATGTCCAACCCTTAAGGCAGGGGCGGATCATGTCTACACTTCAGGGAGCATTGGCGCAGCAAGAATGTGCCTGTAACACTACTCTTCAGCAACAGAAACGGTGTGTAGAATGGTTTGGGGTCAACCTGTCAGGTTTCCTCCCCAACTGTGGTTAGTCATGTAGGTGTGGATCCATGTGGATTGGCCTAAGAAGTACTTTTCAGAGTTGATAGTGTGAGAATCTGTTCTCCACCTGCTTTTTCATCACAAAACAACTACCTAAAGATCTCCCTGAGTGTGACTAAGAATAAGAGCTGTAGGATTTCATCTCATTAGGTTATGGAGCAGCCAAACTCTTGCAGCAATAGAAATACATCTTGGGGCGCCCGGGTGGCTCAGTTGGTTGAGCTTCTGACTCTTGGTTTTAGCTCAGGTCATGATCTCAAGGTTTGTGAGATTTAGCCCTGCAATGGGCTCTGCACTGACAGTATGGAGCCTGCTTGGGATTCTCTCTCTCCCTCTCATTCTGTCTCTCCCCTGTTCTCACTCTCTCTCAAAATAAATAAATAAACTTTTCAAAAAAAATACATCTTGGGGCACCTGGGTGGCTCAGTTGGTTAAGCGTCTGACTCTTGGTTTTGGCTCAGGTCATGATCTGACTCACCATCAATGGGATTAAGCCCCTCATCAGGCTCCTCACTGATAGCACAGAGCCTGCTTGGGTTTCTCTCTCTCTCTCTCTCTCTCTCTCTCTCTCTCTCGTCCTCTCTCTCTCTCATCCTCTCTCGTTCTCTTCTTTTCCCCCAACCCCGAAAATAAATACGTAAACTTAAAGAAAAAATAAAAGCGTGCTGTTGACTGGAAGCCTTCCCGATAAATAACATAAAGAGTTAATACATATTTTGTATATGTATTATATACTGTATTACAGTAAAGTAAGCTAGAGAAAAGAAAATGTTAAAATCAAAAGAAAAATATATTTACAGGACTATGCACTATTTACATGGAAAATATCCCCATATAAATAAACCCACATAGTTCAAATACATGTGGTTCAAGGATCAACTGTACTACATAATTCAAATGGACCTATAGAACTTGCTTTCCTTTGACTAATACGTGTTTTGATAAATATGCTTTTTTCAAAAAAACGGAACTAAAATGTCAGTTCTTACGTTGACTCTCTGACAGATTTCACCGTCATAGGCAAATTGTCATAATTTGGGGTTATAATGTAATGAATGTCCTCATTCATCTCATTGGATCTTTAAAAGTATCAAAAGATTGTGATGTTCTAGGGCACCTGGGTGGTTCAGTTGGTTAAGTGCCTGACTTCGCTCAGGTCATGATCCCATGGTATGTGGGTTCCAGCCCCGTGTTCTGCTCTGTGCTGATGGCTCGGAGCCTGCAGCTTGCTTCAAATTCTGTGTCTCCCTCCCTCTGCCCCTCACCTGCTCACGCTCTGTCTCTCTCAAAAATAAACATACATTAAAAAAAAAAAAAAGATGTGATGTTCTATTGTTAACTCTTCTTCCTGGTTTCTGTGATATTGTTCTAGTGTTTCCACTTCTCTAATCTTACTTTTTTCTTATTGGATTCCTACTGTATTTTACCTAAGTCTTTTGTTCATTGCCCTGTGTGTCCTTATATAGTCACATATTCTGGGATTGCTTAATCACTATTTACATCTCTTATTTGCCTTGTAAACATCTTTTTATCTACTTGTATAATCACTAATGTATTAAATACTGAATCACTTCTCATAAATGATCTTCCATTTTCTACTCCATTTTGGTTAATGGAACCAAAACTCACTTGAATGATCTTACTCTGCCCTCTCATCCAAATTGTATTTAGTTAGTTACTAAGGTCTGGGCACTTTTTTTTCTTCTGAAAGTATAATTTACATGCTGTGAAGTGCTCAGATTTTTAAGTGTACCATTTAATCCATTTTGACATTCACTTCAAGCCACAGAACATTTTTATTACCTCCGAAAGTTCTCTCATGCCCGTTCCCAGTGTTCTTCCCCTCCCTCAGTGAAGCAAGCAGTGATCAGATTTCTATCATCTTGATTACTTCTGCTTATTTTAGACACTTATATAAACGAAGTCATGTGTTTCTTTCACTCAGCATATGTTTTATGAGGCTTTTCCATGTTGCATTATCAGTAGATTGTTCCTTTTTATTACTGAGTAGTATTTCATTTGTTTATGCATTTATTAATTGATGGACATTTGATTCTTTACAGTTTTGTGCTTCACGAATAAAGCTACTGTGGACATTCTTGTACAAGGGTTTTTGTGGACATAGATTTTCACTTCTCTTAGAACTGTTGGGGGTCACCTGGGTGGCTCAGTCTTTTAAGCATCCCACTTTGGCTCAGGTCATGATCTTGCAGTTGTGAGTTTAAGCCCCTCACTGGGCTTGCTGCTGTGAGCACAGAGCCAACTTTGGATCCTCTGTCCCCCTCTCTCTCTGCCCCTCCCCTGTGTGCACTGTCTCTCTCTCAAAAATAAACATAAAAAAAAAAAAAAGAATAGAACTGATGGGTCATATAAATGTATGGGTGCCTGGGTTGCTCAGTTGGTTAAGCATCAGACTTTGGCTTAGATCATGATCTTGTGGTTTGTGGGTTCGAGCCCCTAATAAGGATCCACGCTGACAGTGTGTACCCTGCTTGGAATTCTCTCTCTCTCCCTCCCTCCCCTCTCTCTCCCCCACATGCTCACACTCTCGCTCTCAAAAATAAACTTAAAAAAAAATCTATATTTAACTTTTTAAGAGACTGGCAGTTTTCCAAAGAGATTATAACATTTTACACTTATGTCAGCTATGTCTGAGAGCTTGCCTTCTCCAAATCTACTTCAGTATTTGATGGTGCCAAGCTTTTTCATTTTATCTATTTTGGTGGGTATGTAATATCTCATTGTGGTTTTACTTGTTATTTCCCTGATGACTAACGATGATGAGCACTTTTTCTCCTGGTTATTGGCCTTTTTTAAAATTCATAGATCATAGATTTTACTGTTTTTTTCTTTTCTTTCTAGAGAGTGCATTCATGAGTGAGGGAGAGAGGCAGAAGGGGAGAGAGAGAGAGAGAGGGAGACTAAGAGACTCAAGCAGACTCCATGCTCATTGTGGAACCTGACACGGGAGCTTGAACCCACAGCCCTGGGATCCTGACCTGAATAGAAATCAAGAGTCTGACATTCAACCACCCAGGCACCCCGGTTCTTGGTCTTTTAAATCTCTTCTTTTGTGGTGTATTTGTTGAGACATTCTGCCCAGTTTTAAAATTGGATTGCAGGAGACCTTTCTGTAGTCTGTGTACAAGACCTTTATCACATAATGTGTCACAAACGTTTTCTTGCAGTTCATGGTTGCCTGTTTTCTTGGTGTTTTTTTTTTTTTTTTTATAAGCAGACATTNAGTTTTAAAATTGGATTGCAGGAGACCTTTCTGTAGTCTGTGTACAAGACCCTTATCACATAATGTGTCACAAACGTGTTCTTGCAGTTCATGGTTGCCTGTTTTCTTGGTGTTTTTTTTTTTTTTTTTTGATAAGCAGACATTTTTCATTTTGATGGAGTGTAATGAATACTGTTTTTCTTTTATGGTTAATGCTTTTTTGTGTCTTTAGATCTTTACAAAGATCCAAAGTTGTAAAGATATTCTCCTGTGTTTTCTTCGAGTAGCTTTATTGTTTCACGTTTTACGTTTCACTTGAAATTCATCCTTGTGTATACTGTAAGGCTGGAGTAAGTTCTTTCCCCACCCCCGTATGGATTTCTAATTGTCCTGCCTCCATTTGTTGAAGGGATTTTTTTTCTCCCCACTCCAAATTGCTTTGGGGCCTTTGCGAAAAAGAAATCATTTGACTGTATGTGTGCGGATATTTCTGGACTCTTATCATCCATTGATCTAATTGCTTGTCCTTTCACCAATTACATGTTGTCTTGATTTTATATAGTAAATCTTGACTTAGGGTAGAGTGAGTTCTTCAACTTTTGCTGTTCCTTATTAAATTTGTTTTGACTATTTTTGGTCCTTTCCTTTTCCAAACAAATTTTAAAATCTTGTCAGTTTGATGAAAAGATCCTTGTGAGATTTTGGTTGGATTGCATTGCATCTATAGGTAAATTTGGAGGCTTGCTGATTTTTATCAGTAGTGTCTTAGATTTTATTTTTTTACCATTTCTGCAGGTAATTCCTTCACTATGTCATACTTAAATCACCATATTAGCTTCATAATTGTAGGTCCTTATATAAATACTTTTGTTCCTAAAATGTTACTTAATTGATCTTTTTGAAATCTTTACTTGTCATATTCAAGATATTCTCCAGTTAAAGAGCCAACAGTAGGTTGAGCACATGGAACCCAAAGTCTTTAATTTTTTTTAAGATAATCTTTATACCTAACATGGGGCTTGAACTCACAACCGTGAGATACAGAGTTGCATGCTCTTCCAGCTGAGCCAGCCAGGCGCTCAAAGTCTTTAAATTTACATTTAAAGCATGTCCTTCTTAACTTCTCTAGATATCGCCACTTATTCCCAGTACTAACTGTATCTTATAGCTCAATTTCCTCTGGATAAACTCTCCCACTTTTACAACTTTTTTTTTTTAAATTTTTTTTTTTTTAATGTTTTATTTATTTCTAGGAGAGAGAGAGAGAGACAGCGTGAGCAGGGGAGGGTCAGAGAGAGAGGGAGTCACAGACAGAAAAAGGCTCCAGGCTCAGAGCTGGCAGTCAGCACAGAGCCCGACGCGGGGCTCGAACCCACGAACCGCAAGATCATGACCTGAGCGAAAGTCGGACGCTTAACCAACTAAGCCACCCAGGCGCCCCTCCCACTTTTACAACTTTATTCAATACTGATTTCTTGCAAATCTTGGAAAATTCCATTTTTCTTTGAAATTTTATGGTTCCTTCAGAGTCCCACCTTCTGAGGCTGCTTCTGTGATACCTCCTTTTGCTTCTCAAAGGCTTTACTATCCATTCTTGGCAACTGTAATATACTGCTTTGTACTGTAGGTTAATTTTTCATTAGTATAATTTGTCTTTTTTTCTTTTTTTAATGTTTGTTTATTTTTGAGAGAGAGAAGGAGAGGCAGAGAGAGAGAGGGAGACAGAGAATCTGAAGCAGGTTCCACGCTGTCAGCACAAAGCCCGACGTGGACCCACAAACCATGAGATCATGACCTGAGCCAAGGTCGGATGCTCAACCAACTGAGCCACCCAGGCGCCCCTATACTGTGTCTTTCTCATTGGAGTATAAATTCCCTTGTGTTAGGAACTATTTGATAATTCTAGCACAACCCTTTATACAGCTTTTATTGATGAAACATTTATCTAAATTGTGGTTTATTACCTAGTACTTCCCTTTGTTCTAACTGGTGAATCTTAACTTAATCTTAGCCCTGCCTTTCCCAGCTCTTTACAAAGTAGAATTTTACACTTTTTTTTTGAAGCACTCCCCAAAGTATGTATTGATATTATTCTTCTGTGACTAATGTTACCCATGGAATTTTACTTTAAAATTCTTATTTCTATGTATTTCTGTGTGTGTGTGTGTGTGTGTGTGTGTTTACTTCAATACTATTATATACATATAAAATAATAACTCTCACTTATTGAGTATATATTATGCTTAAGCACTTTATACTAAGAGTAATCAACCTGATAAGAGAGATGCTGCGGTAGTCCCGCTATGTCTGTGGTTTCACTTTCCTCAGTTTCACTCACCCACTGTCAGCTGCGGTCCCCAATCACATGATCCTCCCTCTGACATATTGTCAGGTCAGTAGTAGTCTAATGCTCCATTACGGCACCTACATCATTCCCCTCACTTCATCCCCTGATGTCGGCATTTTATCATCTCCCATCCTCACAAGGAGAAGATGAAAGACGAGCATAGAACAATAAGATATTTTGAGAGAGAGACCACATTCACATAACTCTTATTATAGTATATTGTTATAATTGTTCTATTTCGTTATTGTTGTTAATCCCTTACTATGCCTAATTTATAACTTGAACTTTATCATAGGTATGTATGTACAGAAATGAAACAAAGTATATCTAGGTTTTGGAAGTATCCTGGATTTCAGGCCCCCATCTTGGAAAGTATCACCCTACATATAAAGGGGGGATTTTTGTATTATTATCCCCATTTTACAGATGAGGAGACTGAAAATGGAATTTAAACAGCTCGTTTAGTGTCTCTGCTAGTGATTAGCAGAGCTGCATTTGAACCTGGGGAGTCTTGTTCCAGAGCCATGTAACTCTGTTTTCGATATGTTGTCTTAGAATTTGTCTAATTTCTACATGTTTTGTCCGTCCTGTTATGTTATCTGGCAGAATCTTGATGATTCCTATTTTTCTTTGTTTAACAAACCCTCAAACTCCAGTGCAGTTATTTGACTTGATATTAAACACTTAAAAAATTAATAAAAATGGAGGGGTGAAATGTATTTATTTGACTGTTATCGCTACTGCTTCTGCTAACATTTTCTGTTTAAATTTCAGGGCATTTGAATCTGAAATTCGATTTTACTCTGGAAATGATCCTCTGGATGTTTGGGATAGGTGAGTCTTTTTTATTTAACAAGGGCAATAGAAACTTAACAAATGAGTCCATATGACCATATTTCTCAAATTAGGGTGTACAGAAGTATGTCAGAGTACAAAGGGGTGTCTTGGGGACATGGAAAGACAGAATAATCATAGTGTTTCTTCTTGAGGTGTTCACGACTAAAGAAGTTTCAACTTTGTGGCATGCAGCTGAGAGCTACACCCTTGTATCCCCATCCTCTTTATTTCCCAGAGGTATATGTTAGCAATATTTGGAAAAGCTTGAGGGATCGAGGCTTAGGATATGTCATTAAGGACCTCTAAATAAACACACTTCCAATATATTAGATATTTCTGCCTAAGAAAGTCAAGAATGGGTCTTGGTGCAAGAGCAAAAGTACACATTGAACTTTAAAATTATTCTTTTCCTTTTCATTCAGGTATATTAACTGGACAGAACAGAACTACCCTCAGGGAGGGAAAGAGAGTAATATGTCAACATTATTAGAAAGAGCTGTTGAAGCACTACAAGGAGAAAAACGATACTATAATGATCCTCGATTTCTTAGTCTCTGGCTTAAATTGGTAAGTCTTTCTCAAGTGCCATCTGAGTTCAAAATATTAAACCAAGAGGGGTGCCTACGTGGCTTAGCCGGTTAAGTGGCCACTTCATCTCAGGTCATAATCTTGCGGCCCGTTGGTTCGAGCCCCACATCAGGCTCTGTGCTGACAGCTCAGAGCCTGGAGCCTGCTTCAGATTCTTTGTCTCCCTCTCTCTCTGCCTAATTCGTACTCTGTCTCTCTCTGTCTCTCAAAAATGAATAAACATTAAAAAAATAAAATCCTAAACCAAGAGATTTTTCTTTAGAGCTCTCTGGTACACACCAGAAAATGGCAGCACTTGAGCCATTTAATAAATATGAAACATTTAATAAATACTCAATATTTGTTAAATTGGTCCTATTTAAAAATAGATTTTAATGTAAGAGTTTTTTTTACCCCTTTAAAAGTGATCATAAAGGCCTGTATGTCTCCTCCTGGGAGTGGATCATTTATTTATTTCAAACATAATTGGGCCATGCAACAGTACAAAGGGAGGGTGTGTAGGAGCCAATGCATGGCAGTAGTGTGATTGTTTGGGAACAAATTTTTGTAGGTGATTCTGTAGTCCTTTGTTCCCTTTTTGAGAATCATTACCATAAAAAGTTAATTGTGTTTTTAGGTAATATATTGTTATTTATATTTAAAATATATTTAAATATATTTAAAATATCTGCCTGACCACTTTGTGCTGTCTCATTTGACATGTAGTTCTTTTATTGAGAATTTTTTTATGGAAACATCTCTAAATAAAATAATGAGAGTTTCTTAGATATTTATTTCATTGTTTTTGTTCTAAAAAAGATTAGAGAAAGTGATAAATATTTAGATTCGAATGTTAGATAATAGATAACTAGATAATGGATAATTAGATACTTATAAAAATAAATTATTAAAAATTAAAAATAGGGTGCACCTAGGTGGCTCAGTCAGTTGAGCATCTGACTCTTGATTTCACCTCATGTCATGATCTTGTGGTACATGAGTTTGAGCTTCACATGGGGCTCTGCGCTGACAGCATGGGGTCTGCTTGACTTCTCTCTCTTTCTCTTGGCCCCTCTCCTTCTCACGCTCATGCTACCTCAAAATAAATAAGTAAACTTAAAAATAAATAAAAGTAAAAAGTAGGGATGCCTGGGTGGCTCAGTCACTTGAGCGTCTACTTGATTTTTAGCTCAGGTTATGATCCTAGGGTTTTGGTAATGAGCTCTACGTCAGGCTTGGTGCTGAGTATGAAGTCTCCTTAAGTCTCTCTCTCTCTCTCTCTCCTTATCTCCTACTTGTGCGTTCTCTCTCCAAAAAGTAATAATAATAAACTATAAAAACATAATTCTGTAACAGATTAAATAATTCTAAATAATAGAATATTTACAACCATTGTAAAATGATAAAATATTGACAGTTGAAATTGATAAAATTTCTGGCTAAAACAGATCTCTTGAGAGCTTATCTTAAACTTCAAATAGGGGCTCCTAGGTGGTTCAGTTGGCTAAGCCTCCCCCGCTTGTGCTCTTTCTCTTCCTCTCTCTCTCAAAAATAAACAAACATAAAAAAAAAAAAAAACCCTTCAGGGACACCTGGGTGGCTCAGTTGATTAAGGGTCCGACTTCAGCTTAGGTCATGATCTTGCCATTCCCGAATTCAAGTCAGCATCGGGCTCTGTGCCGACAGCTCAGAGCCTGAGCCTGTTTCAGATTCTGTGTCTTCCTCTCCCTCTCTCAGCCCCTTTGCACTTGCGCTCTGTCTGTCTCTCAAAAATAAACATTAAAAAGAAATTTTGAAAAAAACTTTCACATATTACTAGTAAAGGAAATTAGGCACATCCTGAAGGCATACTGTATCTTGGTTTCCGGAGGGCATTTGACATGTCTTGGCATCGTTATTGACAAGTTGGAGAAATTAGGAATATTAGTGGTAAGAATTTATGACAAATGATGATACCCAAAGAATGCTAAACAGATTTTTTAGCATGGATTCTATGGTCCCTGGTAGCATGCTGATGGATTTTGTTTTTCATTCTACCCTATATAATATTCTTAACCTATATAATCATATATGTGATTTGTTAATGGTTTGGACTGGATAAACTTCTAAAGTAACTCTTAATCCTAGGATTCTATGATTCTATTTGCTTGGAGCTATTAACAGTAACAATTGGAATAATTTTTCTGTTCATAAATGCTAACCTGGTGCCGGTACCAAAGAGACATGACATTGCCATAACATAAAAAGCATAGTCTAGACCAGTGCTACTGAACTATAGTCTGTGGACTGTTCAAGATCAGTATAAAAGTTCCAAATAAGCATTTAGAGGTTTGGTTAACAAATTTGACATTGCCACAACATCCAAACACATCATCATTTTTCTAGTGACTTCTATTTTTATTGTAATTTTTAAAAATACCAGTCAACAATGTAAATGGAAACTTTAAACATGCATACACCGAAACTGGCCCCTTTACCACAAGCAGTCTGAGAAGTACTGGTGGTGTAGACAGCCCTCATATTCAAATGATCAGCAATAATTGGAACATAGTAGATAGTTAGCAAGCATATTAAACTATTTTGCTGTTTTTATTTTTTTCCCTTATGGTCAAGAGGAGCAACAGTTGGGTTCCTCACTCTACTTCTTTCTTTTGCTTTGCAGAAAAATTTCCCCATTCCGAGAGTTATTTTTATAAGGAATTACTACAATCTAGCTAAGGAAAAATTTGTTCTTAAAAAATATCCAGGATTTTTAGTTAAAAGTATAAAATTGTTTTAGTTGGCTTGTTAGGGGTTGCCAAAAAAATTTCTTTAACTTTTGGATATATTAATCTAACCATGTGGTCCTTTTATTTATGTTATTTCTTAAATGATCTCATTCAGCACTCTGGAATAACCTCATCTTTACTGGCTGTTTTATGCTGTACCAGAGCTATTCAGAAAACCATTAACAAGTGCAGTCAATGTTAACCTTTATTTATGTAGTAACAGATATCAAGGACTGGATCTCATACTGATAACATATTCATAATTATAACTTTGCTTGAATCGCCATCACATATGGGGAAAAAATCACTAATTGGAATAAGCAGAGAACTCCATTTACTGAATTACTACTAAATTAAACTATAAAATATTATTGTTTTTGTCAAAGAAGTAAGTGGAGCATTTCATTTATTCAATCTTTTTCTACCAGACCCTGGTTAGGAACTGGGGATATAGTGGATAGCAGTGTTTTGTACCTTTGTGGAACTTACTTTATTGGGAAGGACAGATGTTAAAGAATTTAATTGTCACAAAAGAGAAAGAGGGAAGTATTGAGTTGTGTAGAAGAGAATATATATAAGGAGGACTTAACTTAGGTCAGACAGTCAGGAACAGGTAGAGATGAGAGAAAATATAAATAAACAGGAGAAAATGTTAACCTCCTTAGTTATATAAGAACTCCTAATTAGAACACTGAAATGCCATTTTTATACGATGTTAGCAACTTAAAAATAGGTATTTTCTGTGAAATTAGTATTTGAGAATAACTACTGGCATTTTAAATTGGTACAAACCTTTCAGAAAGAAATTTGTTCCTTTTTAACATAGTTCTACTTCTAGAACGTATCTTAGGGGAGTAATATAAATCATGAAAGGTTGTGTGCATCAAGATACTTGTTACAGGGGTGCCGGGGTTGCTCAGTCTCGTAGTGTGTGGGTATGCGAGACTATGACCTGAGCCAAAATTAAGAGTCAGATGTTTAACTGACTGAGCCACCTGGGTGCCCCTGTAACAAATATCTTCATGCACACAACTTCTCATGTTTTATACTACTCCCTTAAAATAAATTTCTAGAAGTAGGACTATGGTAAAAAGTAACAAATTGTGTTGGCAATGTGGAGCCTGCTTGGGATTCTCTCTCTCTCTCTCTCTCTCTCTCTCTCTCTCTCTCTCTCTCTCTTTGCCCCTCTCACACTTGCATGTGCTCTCTCACTCTCTCTGTTTCTCAAATAGACTTAAAAGAAAATATTAAAAGGTATTTGTTATAGAATTATTTATAGCTGAGTAAAGTAGAAAGAAGCTACATATCCAAAAAAAATAGGGAATGGTTAAATGATGGGAGATTACTAGATGGAACATTATTCATCCATCTAAAAATAAGAATGAGTAAGCAGCATGGAAAAATGAATGACAAACTGTTAGAATTAAAATGTCCTTATGATTAAAACTTTATAAATGATAAAATTCTTCTATGCTGTGTAAAATGGTGTTTGTTCCTTTTTTTTCCTTAAGGGAAAAAAAGATTGAAGAAAATATATCAAATTGTTAACGATGTGGGATTTTTATTGACTTGTCCCCCCCGCCTTCTTACTACTGGAATTGTCGGTCTTAAAAGATCCCCTCTAAAATGCAGATCTGACCATATCATTCCTTTGCTTATAGCTCTCCCACCTGAACATACATGCATTGGGTATCAGGTAAATTTACAATCGATTAGCTTGACATTTAAGACCTATCACTACTTTTTCTCCTGTCTTGTCTGCATCCTCACAAACTTTTAGTCTTCTCTTTCTTTGCTTATACTATTTTCTCTGTCTGCAATGCCCTTCCATTCCCCTTCTCTACCAGGTGTAAGTCTATTCCTCCTTCAGGGCCACACTCAAATGTCATACCTTCTTGAAGTCTTCTCATCCCTTTTTCTTTCAAATTAACCTCTTCTGTCTACTTTTTAGGTCTTCCCAGTATAGTCCTTTTAACATTGTATTAGAGTAGATATATATTTTTTCAATGCAGAAACCGCATATAGGAACTCCAGTGATAGTTCAGCACCCCATCTGCCCTCAGCACATAATAAACACTCAATAAATGAATAGAAATTGTTTAACTATTAATGCTTTTAATTTGTTACAGGGACATTTATGCAACGAGCCTTTGGATATGTACAGTTATTTACACAACCAGGGGATTGGTGTTTCACTTGCTCAGTTCTATATCTCATGGGCTGAAGAGTATGAAGCTAGAGAAAACTTTAAGAAAGCAGACCAGATATTTCAGGAAGGGATTCAGCAGAAGGCTGAGCCACTGGAAAGACTGCAGTCACAGCACCGGTAAGCTTTTTGGACCTTGTTTTAACTCTTTAAAACTAATACATGTAAATCATTGTTTTTGCATCTGAATAAAATCTCCCCCCCATGGCAAGTTTACTTAGTTACTATTTGATTTTTTAAAAGACCTATTTAAATATTTTTTATTTAACATGCAGTAAAATCCACTGTTTGGTGTATAGTTTTGTAAGTTTCCACAATTGAATGGGGACCTATAACCATTACCGTAATCAAAATATACTATAGTTTCATCACTCCATAGAATTTCTTTTTTTTTAATGACAAAAAGGCTTCTTAAGTTATATTTTTTTAATAGTTTATTGTCAAGTTGGTTTCCATATAACACCCAGTGCTCATCCCCACAAGTGTCCTCCTCCATGCCTATCACCCCTCTTCCCCTCCCCCCACCCCATCTGCCCTCAGTTTGTTCTCAGCATTCAAGAGTCTCTCATGGTTTGCCTCCCTCCCTCTCCCCCACTATTTTCCCCCTTCTTCTCCCCCGTGGTCCTCCTAATCCTCCTATATGTGCAAACATCCCCCACCCCCGACTCAACCCATAGAATTTCTTTTTGCTCTCCCTTTGCAGTTCAACACTTAAGGTCACTCCCAAACCCTGGTCACCACTGATCTGTTCTCCAGCCCTGTAGTTTTGCCTTTTCCATAATATCATCTAAGTGGCAGCATATAGTATGTGTGGCCTATTGAGTGTGTCTGCTTTCATTTAACATAATGCATTTCAGTTGTTAAATTGGTTCTACTTTAAAGATGGATTTTATATCTATATTCTGAATACAAGTCTTTTATCACATAATATGATTTGTAAATCTCTTCTCCCAGTTTAACTGTTGGTTATGTTTTTTCTTAACAGTGTGTTTTATAGAACCAAAGTTTTTACTTTCAGAGAATTCTAAAATCAATTTTTGTGTTGTGTAGATCATGCTCTTGGTATGTCTGAGAGCTCTGTTTAGCAAAGGGTCACAAAGATTTTCTCCAAGGTTTTTATCTTGAAGTTTAAAAAAATTTTTTTTTATTTGGGTAGAGTTGATATACAATGTTACATTAGTTTCAGGTGTGCCCTATAGGGCAAGTATATACATTATGCTGTGCTCACTGCAAGTATAGTTACCATAGCTCACCATACAAAGCCATTATAATATTATTGATTGTATTTCTTATTCTGTACCTTTTAATCCCACGATTTATTCATTCCATAACTGGAACCCTGTGTCTCCTTCTCTTTTTCACCCATTTGCCCATTTCCCCCAACTCCCTCCCCTCTGGCAGCCGTCAGTTTGTTCTCTGTATTTATAGGTCTGATTCTGCCATTTGTTTGATCTTTTTTTTTTCTTTTAGATTCCACATATGAGTGAAATCCTATGGTATTTGTCTTTCTTAGTCTGACTTAGATCATTTAGCATGATAGGCTGTAAGTCCATCCATGTTGTCATCAGTGGCACCATCATGCTTTTTTATGGCTGTGTAATCCATTATGCATATATATACCATATCTTCCTTATCTGTCTATCAGTAGACACTTAGGTTGCCTTCTGTATCTTGGCTATTGTAAATAATGCTGCAATAAACATAGGTGTGCATATATCCTTTTGAGTTAGTGTTTTCGTTTTCTTTGGATAAACAAACACCCAGTAGTAGTAGAATTGGATTGTATGGTATTTCTGCGTTTAATTTTTTGAGGAACCTCCATACTGTTTTCCACAGTGGCTGTACTAATTTACATTCCCACTAACAGTGTGTGAGGGCTCCTTTTTCTCCACATCCTCGTCAACACTTGTTATTTCTTGTCTTGCTGATTTTAGCCATTCTGACAAGCGTTAGGTGATATCTCATTGGGTTTTGATTTGCATTTTTGTTTTTTTTTGGGGTTTTTTTTTCATTTTTTAATGTCTATTTGTTTTTGAGAGAGAGCGAGCATGAGCAGGGGAGGGGCAGAGAGAGAGGGAGACAGACTCTGAATCAGGTTCCAGGCTCCGAGCTGTCAGCACAAGAGCCCAATGTGGGACTCGAACTCATGAACCATGAGATCATGACCTGAGCCCAAGTTGGATGCTTAACCGAGTGAGCCACCCAGGCACCCCTGATTTGCATTTTTCTGATGATAAGTGATGTTGAGCATCTTTTCATGTGTCTGTTGGCCATCTAGATGTCTTTGGGAAAATATCTATTCAAGTTCTATGCCCATTTTAAAATCAGATTGTTTGTTTTTTTGGTATTGAGTTCTATAAGTTTTATATATTTTGAATATTGACCCTTTATTAGAAATATTATTTGCAAATATCTCCTCCCATTCAGTAGTTTGCCTTTTTGTTTTTTGATGTTTTCCTTTGCTGTGCAAAAACTTTTTATTTTGATGTAGTCCCAATAGTTTATTTTCATCTTGAAGTTTTTATAGTTTTACTTTTTACATATTGATCTCTGATTCATTTTGAGTTAATCTTTGTATAATGTATTGATCAAGGTTCTTTTTTTTTGCATATGAACCTCCATTTGTTCTTGTGTCACTTGTTGAAAAGATTGTCTCCATTGATTTGACTTTGCATCTTTGTCATAATTATATTTGAGGGGTACCTGGGTGGCTCAGCTGGTTAAGTGTTCCACTTTGGCTCAGGTCATGATCTCTCACAGGTCATGGGATGGAGCCCTGCATAACACTCTGCACTGACAGTACAGAGCCTGCTTGGGATGCTCTCTTTCCCTCCCTCTGCCCCTCCCCTGTTCCTGCTTGTGCTCCAGTTGTGTGTACACACTCTCTCTCAAAATGAATAAGTGAAGATTTTTGAAAAATGGTATTTGACATTAAAAAATCATATATGTGTAGTTATTTCTGTTACTCTATTTTGTTCTTCTGATCTATATATTCATTAGTGTATACCACAGTATCTAGATTACTGCAGCTTTATAGTAAGTCTAGAAATCAAGTAATATGAGACCTCCAACTTTGTTATTCTTTTTAGCTTTTTAAGTTCTTTTAGCTTCTTTTTAACTAGAGCTCCTTTGACTTTCTGTATAAATTTTAGAATCAGCTTTCTGGGATTTTGATTAGTATTGTGCATGAACTTGATATATTTCTCTATTTAGATCTTTGATTTCTTTAAGTAAGCTTTGAAAGTATTTTTGAGAGGTGGGGAGTGTCAGAGAGCAGTGCAGAGCCTGATGCAGGGCTCAGACTCTCAAATGGTGAGGTCATGACCTGAGCCGAAGTAGCATGCTTAATCAACTGAGCCACCCAGGTGCCCCATGGTAGTATTTGTGTTTGAGGAATTGATTCATTTCATCTATGAGTTTATGAGCATAGAGTTGTTTATAGAATTCCTTTATTTTCCTTTAATGTCTGTAGGTTATGTAGAATATCTTTCATTCCTGATATTGGTGATTTGTGTCTTCTCCTTTTTCTCATAGTCTGGCTAGAAATTATCAATTTTATTGATCTTTTTAGAGAACCAGCTGTTGGTTTTATTGTTTTTTCTCAATTGACTTTCTCTTCTTATTTTTATGAATTTCTCCTCTTTATTATTTCCTTCTTTGTGCTTGCTTTGAGTTTAACTTGCTCTTTTTCTAGTTTCAAGTGATAGCCTAGATCACTGATCTAGATTTTTCTTTTCTAATATAAAAAATTTCCTTCTAAGCACTGCTTTAGCTATACCCCATAAATTTTGATACAATATTTTCATTTTCCCTCTCAAAATTTTCTGACTTCCCATGTGTTGTCCCTTTGATCCATGGCTTATTTATAAGTGTATTAATTTAATTAGGAAATGTTCAGAAATTTTTCAGATGTCCCTCTGTTACTGATTTCTAGCTTAATTCCATTATGGATAGAGAACATAATTTGTATGGTTTCATTTTTTTTTAATTTATTAAGTTTTGTCCTCGGCCCAGAATATGGTCTGTCCTAGGTAAATATTCCATGGACGCTTGAAAAGTACGAGTTTTGTGCTATTTGCCAGTGTAATGTTTTTTAAATGTTATTTAAGTCTGTTGTGGTCTTTTGTTTCCTTGCTGATTTTCTGTCTACTTGTTCTCTCAGTTATTGAGAGAGGAATTTTGAATTCCTTTTTATTGTGAATTTGTCTCTTTCTTCTTTAAGTTCCATTTTTTTTGCTTTATGTATTTTGAAGTTCTGGAGGATACACATTTAGAATCTATCTACAGTATCTTTATCCTTGGTGATATACATTCTGATGTCTTCTTGGTCTGATTATTACTATAGCCACTCTGGCTTTCTTTTGTTTATGTGATATATCTTTTCTCTTTGTGTGTGTGTGTGTGTGTGTGTGTGTGTGTGTGTGTGTAACAGTTTTAGGGTTGGAGTTGTGTGACCATCACCACAGTCTAATTTTAGAACATTTTTAACACCCCAACATGAACCCCATACTCATTTGCAGTTACTCCCCATTCCCTCTCACCCACTTCCAGGCAATGACTTACCTGCTTTCTTTCTCTAGGTTTGCCTGTTCTGGGCATTGCACATAAATGGACTCCTACATTATGTAGTCTTTTGTGACTGACTTCTTTTACTTAGCCTAATATTTTGAAGGCTCATCACAGTATATCATCATTGATGAACATAGTTGTGTTATATATTAATATTTCATTCCTTTTTATTGCTCAGTAATATGCCATTCTTTGGATAGAACAGATTTTGTTTATTCATCAATTAATGAGAGTTTAGGTAGTTTCCATTTCTTGGCTATTGTGAAATAATGCTTCTGCAAACATTCATGATACAGACTTTTGTGTGGATTTTCTTTAATTTTTATCTTGTCTATGTCTTTATATTTAAAGTAGATTTCTTACACACAGCAGATAGGTGGGCCTTGTTTTTTACCTCAGCTTTCATAATATGTTTTTCTTTTTATTTATTATTATTTTAATGTTTATTTTTGAGAGTGAAAAGAGAGACAGAGTGTGAGCAGGGGAGGGGCAGAGAGAGAGGGAGACACAGAATCCAAAGCAGGCTCCAGGCTTCGAGCTGTCAGTACAGAGCCCGATGCAGGGCTTGAACCCACAAACCTTGAGGTCATGACCTGAGCTGAAGTCATATGCTTAACCGACTGAGCCACCCAGGTGCCCCACAATATCTGTTTTTAAATGGTGTATTTAGAACATTTACTTTAATTATTAAGTGTGTTGGATTTAGATCTATTTATTATTTTTGTTTTCAATTTATTCTCTTTTATTCTTCTGTTGCCCCTTTCCTGTCTTTTTCTGGATTATCTGAATATTTTTTAGTATTTCATTTTAATTTATTTTATTGGCTGTTTTTGTCTATTATTATTTTTTTAGTGGTTGCTCTAGAGTATATTATAAACATACCTAACCTTCAGTAGTCTACTTACAGTTAATATAATACCACTTCAAGTAAAATACAGAAGCTTTATAACCATATAGGTCCCTTTATCTTCCCTACTTTTTTGGTACACTTGTCATATGTAAATACACTGAAATCCCCACCAGACAATGTTATAATTTTTGCTTTCAACAGCCTTACATATTTTGAAGAACTTTGGAGGAAAATGGTCTTTCATATTTATCACTTTGGTTCTTTCTTCATTCCTGAAGTCCCAAGTTCTCTTCTCTTGTAATTTCCCTTTAGTCCAAAGATGCTTGGCCATTCATTTAGAGTGAGCCTGTGGCCAATAAATTCCCTGTTTTTCTTCATCTAAGAATGTCTTCATTTCATTTTCATTCCTAAAGGATATATTCAATGGTTGTAGAATCCTGGGTCAACAGTTCTTTTCTTTTGGTACTTTTAAGATGTTGTTGCACCGTCTTCCGGACTCCCGTGATTTCTGATGAGAAATCTAGTCATTTGATTGATTCCTTCTCTATATGTATTGTGTTGATTTTCTCTGGGTGCATTTAAGATTTTTGTCTTTAACATTGTTATTCAGAAGTTTGATTATGGTGTATCTTGGTGTGATTGCTCTTGCACTTAATCCATTTAGGGTTTAATGAGCTTTTTGAAGTTATAAATGTATGCCTTTCACAAAATTTGAAAATTAGTCATCATTTAAAAATGTTTTTTCTTTACTTATTCTATCTCTTTTTATGGATTTTCACTTACACATATATTAGACCTTTTGATATTGTTCCCTACGTCCCTGAAGCTCTCCTATTTGTTGTTTAAATTTTTAATTTTTTAACCTTTTTTCTTTTAATTTTTTTTTTTTTTTAATTCTGAGAGAGAGAGAGAGAGACAGCGTGAGCAGGGGAGGGTCAGAGAGAGAGAGAGGGAGACACCGAATCTGAAACCGTCTTCAGGCTCTGAGCTAGCTGTCAGCACAGAGCCTGATGCAGGGCTCGAACCCACGAACCACGAGAGCATGACCTGAGCCGAAGCCGGACACCCAACCAACTGAGCCACCCAGGCGCCCCTTTTAACCTTTTTTTCTTTCTGTTCTTCAGAGTGACTAGTTTTTATTGATTTGTCTTCAGGTTTACTTACTCTTTCCTCAGCCATCTCCAGTCTGATATTGAGTCCATCCAGTAAATTTTTTATTTCAGAAAATGTGTTTTTTAGGTCTAAATTCTCCATTTGATTCCTTTTTATAATTTCTGTGTCTCTGCTGAGAACTTCTGGGGTTTTTTTAATTCATTTCAAATATTTTAACCTTTGTCTTATGAGCATTGTTATAATAACTGCTCTCAAATCTCTATCTGAAAATTCCCAACATGTAGGTCATCTTGATATTGATACATATTGCTTGCCTTTTCCTTTGAGAATTGATCAGATTTTACTGTTTCTTGGTCTGTCAAGTAGTTTTGGATTATATCTTGCACATTGATCCTGATACTATGTTTTTAGACTCTGAGTTCTGTTGGTTGATATTCTCTGGGCATTGTTGATATTTTTGTCTTAGTAGGCAACAGACCCTCAGATATCATAAGTTCTTTCTCATGTGAATAGTGGTTCCATTGTCAGTTCAGTTTTCAAGATCTTTGGGTCTATCCCATGTGGAGGCTGCTTAGGCATTAGTCTAGGACTTGGGTAATGGTTTATATCCTACTTCAGTTTTCTGTGCTGCTTTGGGCCTACCCTGTGCGTGCATAGCTCAGAACTGAGCCCAGGGCTTGTGCCAATTCACATAGAGAATTAGGAGATCCCCTTCTTTGTTTCATCCTCTCCAATATCTCACCCCCATTCGTTGGCCCGCAGAGTCCCCTTTTCCCAGTACTCTGGCCAGAAAGATGAGGTTTTAGCTTCCCACACCATCACTGCAACAATTTTAAACCACAAGAGAAAAAAGAAGAAAAAAAACAGGAAACAACCTTGTGTGGGTTGTTTCTTCAAGTTTTACTCCTCTCTACAGTCCACTTGCTTTTGTTTACTTTCAGAAGCCTCAGTTGCTTTTTTTGTAGTTTGTTTAGAGTTTTTAATTCTATCCAGCGAGAGAGAGGCTGTCATGACCTTACTCCTCCATCTTGGCCATTTCTTGCCAGTTTATTCTGTTTGGGGTTTTTTGGGGGGGTTTTTGCCTTTTTTTTTTTTTTTTTTTTTTTACCACTCTTGATAATACTTAAGGCTTTGGCAGCAGGACAGGAAGTTTAATCTTCAAACTTCTGCCAGCTTTGCTAAAGTAAAATGTCATGTGGGATACAGCTTCATTTGATATGGTTTAGGAAAAAATGGTATAGAGGGGAGTAGTGTGCATAGAGAAAGAGAGACAGGGACAAAATAGATGTGGCAAGATGTTAACAGTGGCTGAATCTAGGTGAAGAGTATGTGGGTGCTCATTTACACTTTCAGTAATTTGTAAGTTTAAAAAGTTTTATAGTAAAATGTTGATGGGGAACTCTGATCTTAATAAATTCTTTAATCTTAGTCACCCTGCTCTGATCCTCAGCTCAAACTAGTGGTGCTCTTCAGAGTATGCTAATTGGTCAAACTTGGACATTTAAAGGGGAAGCTAAACCATTCTATTCTAAACCTTCTCTCTGATTTCAAGGTAGAGTTCTTTATTTCCGACATAATAAACATTTTCTGTGGCCTATTTCTCTAACTTGTCCTCCCTTGTTTTAACAAATAAGATATTTTGATTCTGGGGAATGGTGTTCATCTCCCCAAAAGTTAATTGTCCATTCTCTTACTTTAGACAATTCCAAGCTCGAGTGTCTCGGCAGACTGTGTTGGCACTTGAGAAAGAAGAGGAGGAAGAAGTATTTGGATCTTCTGTACCACAGCGAAACACATTGGCTGAACTAAAAAGCAAAGGGAAAAAGACAGCAAGAGCTCCAATCAGCCGTGTAGGAAGTGCTCTCAAGGGTAAGTTTGTTAAGTGTTATTATGGGAAGCTCTTAGTCTCGGGTGGTAGGCAAATTATGTAAAGAGATAATGTATAAATATATATGTGGACACTGTCCTAGTTTTCTGAATACTAGGTAGCAAAAAATAGGAAGTCTTCAGAGAGCTGAGATTACAGTATGCAGTAAAACCAAAACATGTCAGCAATTTTGTGTCTTAATTAAGAACCTAATATATAGGAAGCATCAAGGGTTTCTGAACTTGAGTTGTTAGTTGAAATAAGATATGCAATAAAATAGCCAGTATTATCAAATTACATATACCAAAGCCTCAGAGACTGTATTGACATGGTCTTCAAGCATTTGGGGACCAGAAATTTGACCCTCTTTGTACACGTAAAGGTGATCAATGATAAGCTTTTTTTTTTTTTTTTTTTTTTAATTTACCGTGTTTAGGGAAGTTTTAGATTTATAGCAAAATTGAACAGAAAGTACAGAGAACAATAAGCTTTTACTAACTGCATTTATAGCAGTTAGAAATATAGACCAGAATTTTTAAAAATCTCCTAACGCCTTTTCTCGTATCAACTCATCAGTATTCAAAATATATCCTAGAATTCGAGTATAGGGAGTATCTAGACCTAAAGAATATTTCATCCAGATTATACTGAAGCTTGATTGTAATAAGGAGCCCCATGGCAGAGAGCACCCCTAATAAATGGACTGATTTGTCTTCTCTAGATTCAGCACATTTCAGGTTATTTCCATTGAGAGAAAAATTTTAAGTTGAGAAACGAAGATTTAGGTTAGGTTAATCTCTGAGAAGACTAGACAATGTTAGAATGGTGACTGAAGGAAGATGTAGAATTTTTAAAAATATCTATAAATAAAAGATTGGAGGGGCGCCTGGGTGGCTTAGTCGGTTAAGTGTCCGACTTTCGCTTAGGTCATGATCTCGCGGTTTGTGGGTTTGAGCCCCGCGTTGGGCTCTGTGCTGACTGCCAGCTAAGAGCCTGGAGCCTGTTTCAGAGTATGTATCTCCCTCTCTCTCTGACCCTCCCCTGCTCACGCTGTTTCTCTCTCTCTCTTTCCTAGAAATAAATAAAAGTATTTTAAAAAAAAAAAAAAAAGATTGGAAATGGGAGGAAGGAGGGTCATGTAAGTAACAAACAGAGTGGATTGAAAAGTTAGTAATTTAATTCATTTAAGGTTTTAAAAAATTATTGTTTTTTGAAAAAATCTCTTTGTTTCTATGGTAATCTCCATAGAAGTAATCTCCTTGATTGTAGGAAGAATTGGGTATACTGTATCAGGCATCTAGATTGATAATTAAAGATTTTACATAAAGTTTTAATGTTTTCTCCTAGCTCCAGACCAGAACAGAGGGCTCCAAAATCCAGTTCCTCAACAGATGCAAAGTAATTCCAGAATTACTATTTTTGATGAAAATGCTGAAGAAGCCTCTAGAACAGAGTTGTCCAAGCCTACAGCTCAGCCATGGACAGCACGCCCTGTGTCCAGGGCCAAGGAGAACGAGCTGCAAGCAGGCCCATGGAACACAGCCCGGCCTTTGGAATACAGGGTAAAGACTCTTGGATCCAGTGTATTTGCACACATAATGAGGACTTCACATTTCGCATAGAGAAGTATTTTCAGCATCTCTCTTAATTCCTCTTGAATAATTAGGCATGGTCTGCATATATTGCATTAGAATGGAACACTGTAATAATTTTCATTTTCTTCTTTACTGCCAGCCTCGTGGCAATACTGCTTCTGTGACAGCAGTACCTTCTCTGCTTCCCAGTTTTACTCCATATGTTGAAGAAACTGCACAACAGCCAGTTATGTGAGTTTGATTTCCAGATGTTTTAGAGGTGGGAATTATTAAGAGTGAGCAGGGGCACTTATCTTGGTTCCCAAGGGCATTTCTTTCCGCGTGGAGATGAAAGTAACCAGACACATTTTGTTTTCTTTCTTTCTTTTTTTTTCTTAAATGTTTATTTATTTATTTTTGAGGGAGAGAGATAAGAGAGCGAGCAGGGGAGGGGCAGAGAGAGAGGGAGCCACAGAATTTGAAGTAGGCTTCAGCCTCTGAGCTGTCAGCACAGAGCCTGACACAGGGCTCAAGCCCATGAACCGTGAATGAGATCATGACCTGAGCCAAAGTCCAAGGCTTAACTAACTGAGCCACCCAGGCACCCTTTGTTCTTCTTTTTAAAGATTGTTTTGACCATTTTGGTCCCCTTGCAATTCCATCTGAATTTTAGGATCATGTTAGTAATTTCTGCGAAACAGCCAGCTGGGATTGTGCTACAGATTGTGCTCTGAATCTGTAGTTAAACTTAATGAATATTACCATTTTAATAATAATATATCTTCAGATCCGTGGACATAGAATATCTCTTATTTATGCCTTCCTTCACTTCTTTCAACAATGTTTCATAGTTTTCAGAATTCATATTTTACACTTTTATTTATTATTTTTTAAATTTTTTAAAAGGTTTATTTATTTTTGAGAGAGCACAAGTGAGAGAGGGGCAGAGAGTGGGGACAGAGAGTAGAGATCCAAAGTGGGCTCTGTGCTGACAGCAGTGAGCCCAGTGTGGAGCTTGAACTCACGAACTGTGAGATATGACCTGAGCTGAAATCACACGCTCAACTGAGCCACCCAGGTGCTCCAAAGTTTTACACTTTTTAAAAGAATGAGATGTTATTTTTTGAGCTATTTTAAGTTTATAGAAAAATTGTACTGAGTTCACATGTACTTCCTCCTCCTCAACCCTGCACACAGTTCTCCCTATTAACATCTTCTATCAGTGTGGTTCATTTGTTGTAATTGACACACCATATTGATACATTATTAAATGAAGTTCGTAGTTTAGGTTAGGAATCACTCTAGTGTATTTTACGGTTCTGTGGGTTTTTCATATGTCCATGATTACAGTGTCACATAAGTAGTTTCACTGCCCTAAAACTTTCCTGTACTCCAGTGGTTCATTTATTCCTCCCTCAAATCCCTGGCAACCACTAATCTTTATATTGTCTTCATAGTTCTGTCTTTTCCCAGAAGTCCTATAGTTGGAAAAAACAGATGTAAGCTTTCCAGACTGGCTTTTCTCAGTAATATGAATTTAAGGTTTCTTCCTGTCTTTTTGTGGCATAATGGCTCATTTATTTTTAGTGCTGAGTGATATTCCATTGTGTGGATGTTTATCCATTTATGGGAGGACATCTTGGTTGCTTCCAGTTTTGCCAATTATGAATAAAGTTGCTATAAATACTTGAGTGCAGGGTTTTATGTGGACATAAGTTTTCAACTCCTATAGCTGGATTATATTTGAAGACTAAGTTTAGCTTTGTAGGAAAATGCTAAACTCTCCAAAGTGGCTGTATCATTTTACATTCATTCATACCAGTAGTGACTGAGAGTTCCTAATCCTCCACACCCTTGTGAACATTTGGTGTTGTCAGTATTTAGGTTTTAACCGTTCTAATAGAAGTGTAGTGGTATCTCATTATTGTTTTAATTTGTAATTCCTTGATAATGTATGATTGAGCATCTTTCATATAAAAGATGGCTTGTTTGCCATCTGTATGTTTTCTGTGGTGTCTAGTCACTTTTTTTAAAATTATTCTGAAATATTTCATTCTTTTGGTGCTGTTGTAAGTAGAAATGTTCTCTTAATTTCATTTTCAGACTATTCATTGTGTAAAATACGGTTGATTTTTATATATTAACTTTATATCCTACTTCTTTGGTGAACTCATTATTAGCTCTAGTAGTTTTTATAATAGAAGTCTTAGGATTTTCTATATATAAGATCATGTCATCTGCAAGTAGAGACCATTTTCCTTATTATGCCATCTGGATGCCTCCTTTCTTTCTTTTGTTTTTCCCCCTTACCTAATTGCCCTGGCTAGAACTTCCAGTACAATTTTGAATAGAAGTGGCAAGAATGGACATTCTTATCTTGTTCCTAATCTTAGGGGAGAAGCATTCAATCTTTCATCATTAAGTGTGATGTTTGTGTGGGGTTTTTGTAGATGTCCTTTATCAGATTGAACAAGTTGAGGAAGCCTTATAAGTATGTAGATGCTTGGACCCTAGCATTAAAGGTTCTAATTTAGTGGATTTGGTGTAGGTACCAGATATCTTTAGTTATAAAAAGGCACAGAAGGAAGTAAAAGGTATATAAGTGATTCTTATCCATAGCCAGAATTGAAAACATCTGCCCCATTTTGTGTGAAGTACATTATGCTTCATTCTTTTCAAACCTATATTATTATTCTCATTCTTCCCGCTCAGCTGAGAACCTTGAACTTTACATCATGAATTCCCTAAATGCTGTATTCCTAACACTAATTGTTTCTGCTGTGAAATGGTATAAAATGGGCTGTAATGTACAAGTGAATTTTCTTTCATCTAGGGTTTTTTTTTTTTTCAAGTTTATTTTGTGAGAGAGAGAGTGCATACCTGCTAGCAGGGAAGGGGCAGAGAGAGACAGAGAGAGAGATCGAGAATCCCAAGCAGGCTCTGCTCTCAGATGGCATAGAGCCAGATGTGGGGCTCAATCCCATGAACCGTGAGATCATGATCTGAACCGAAATTAAGAGTTAGATGCTCAACCAACTGAGCCACCCAGGTTCATATTAAGATATGATATTCAGATTTATTTCCACCTGTTTCCTTCCTCATCATAACAGAGTAATACTCAGAACATAATTGTTGATGACCCATATGAATTATTTTTTAGTCTCTTTCCTCAATCTTCTTTGTTTTTATTTTTTTATTTAATTTTTGTTTTAATGTTTTATTTCTGAGAGAGAAAGAGTGTGTGTGAGCAGAGGAGGGTCAGATACAGAATCTGAAACAGGCCTCCAAGCTCTGAGCTAGCTGTGAGCACAGAGCCCGACACGGGGCTCGAGCCCATGAACTGTGAGATCATGACCTGAGCCGAAGTCGGACACTTTTTTTATTTTTTTTTAATCAATTACACAGTCTTGTCACTGACACTGTTCCTATGGTCTGTCAAAATATGTAAGAAATAATTTATTTGATCTGTATGGTGAATAATGATTATTTTGCTTCTTTAGGACACCATGTAAAATTGAACCCAGTATAAACCACATTCTGAGCACAAGAAAACCTGGAAAGGAAGAAGGAGATCTCCTGCAGAGAGTTCAAAGCCATCAGCAAGAGTCTCAGGAGAAGAAAGAGAAGATGATGTATTGTAAGGAGAAGATTTATGCAGGAGTAGGAGAGTTCTCCTTTGAAGAGATCCGGGCTGAAGTTTTCCGGAAGAAATTAAAAGAGCGAAGGGAAGGTATGTGTATTGATCTAGTTCACAGTAAATTTCTTCTTCACTGCCTGTTATTTTCTCAAGCATTCCCTTTCTTTGAGTGAAGCAGCTCTGATCATGATCACCAGAAACTTCCTTTTTGCTAAGTCCGGTGACCATTTCTCAGTCTTGATCTTTATATATTGACCTTTTGGCTTCATTTGACACAGTTGATGAGATACTTTATGAAGTGTTTCTCTTCGCTTTTTTCCTTGGTGTGTATTCCCTCTCGGTTTCCTTTATTGCTGTTCTTCTCATCAAAGACTTCTTCCTGAGGCCCTTGGAATATTCCAGTTATCTTTTCTTTCTACAGGTATCACTAAGTAATGGATTAAATACTGTTTACAGGCCATGGACTCTCAAATTTATATCTCCATCCCTGACATTTCACCTGAACTCCAGACTCATATTTGGTTTCCTGTATCTATGGGCTATTCTAATAGACATTTTAACTTCGACATATCCAGAACAGAATTATTGAGTTCTGCCACAAACCACACCCCAGCACACACATGCACCACCGGCTTCCCCATTTTAGTAAAAGGCAACACCGTGCACCCAGATGCTTGAAGCCAAAAAAAGCTAGACGTCATTTCTGATCCCTCTTTCCATACCATTCCCCCACATCCAGTGAATAAGCCTATCAACTTAGAACCAAAAATTTCCCACATCTTTTCTTTATCATCATTCTCATTATTAATCTAAATTACCATCTTTTAGGTAGACTACTGCAGCTAGACTTTCTGCACTCATTCTGGCCTTACCATAGCCCATTTTGCTCACAGCAGATGAGCATTTTATAATGTTAAAATGATCTTTGGGGTAGCTGGGTGGCTTAGTCGGTTAAGCGTCCGACTTTTGCTTAGGTCATGATCTCGCGGTTCGTGGGTTCGAGCCCCGCGTCGGGCTCTGTGCTGACTGCCAGCTCAGAGCCTGGAGCCTATTTCAGAGTCTGTATCACCCTCTCTCTGACCCTCCCCTGCACAAGCTGTCTCTCTCTCTCTCTCTCCTGGAAATAAATAAAAATATTAAAAAAAAAAAATGTTAAAATGATCTTCCCTGCTTACTGGTATTTTGTTTTAATATTTATTTATTTTTGAGAGACAGAGAGAGAGACAGAGCACAAGTGGGGGAGCATCAGAGAGAGAGGGAGACACAGAATCTGAAGCATGCTCCAGGCTCTGAGCTGTCAGCACAGAGCCCAACATAGACTTGAACTCGTGAACTGCAAGATCATGACCTGAGCCAAAGTCTGACGCTTAACCGACTGAGCCCCCCAGGCGCCCCTTCCCTTCTTACCTGTCTTAAGGAACTCCCGACTTCCATCTGCCTACTGAGTCACACATTCTCACATCACCTAGTTTATTTATTTTTAACACTGACTTTCTTGTTAATTTGTATGTGTATGTGTCCCCCTCGCATTGGATGTTAGTGTCACATGACCAAGGACTTTGTATTATGCACAACTGAAATGTAAATGCTCCGAGTTGTTCTTGGCACATCACAAATATTCTGGTTTTTATTGACGAAAATGAATGAACAGAGACCTAGACCTCAGTTAGAGGACTTTGCTCCATCTATATTCTTATCTGTAATGTTAGTATGTTTGTTAAGGCCATGAGCTCCAAAGACAGTTTTTGACAATAAATTACTATGAGGAGTAATGCATCAGCCCACCTTACCATTTCTAGCTGAGCTGCTGACCAGTGCAGAGAAGAGAGCAGAAATGCAGAAACAGATTGAAGAGATGGAGAAGAAGCTAAAAGAAATTCAAACTACTCAGCAAGAAAGAATGGGTGATCAGGTCATTTCTCTTTTTTTTAATGCAGAAAACTATGCGTATTGAAGCAAATTTAAACAATATGAAAGTATAGAAGGTAAAAGTCCTCCCATCTCCATTCAGTTTCTGGTAGTTTCATAGCTATTAGTAGCAATTAAGTCCATCAGAAAGTAATGTAACAGATGAAGACTTCAAATGGAAATTGTGTCACTTAGAAGGGACAATTTATTGACTTCTTAATTATACTCTATTATTTTGTAATTTCTGGACTTTAGCTTTTTATTCTAGTCATGTTCCTCTGAATGGGGTTACCCAAAGAAATTTAGTATATCTTGGCACTGCCCAGTTGAGTAAAACAGAACCAGTTTATGCTAGGAACATAAATTTTTGGAAAGAACTTTTATAGTATAGATATTTGATATGGTTAGTGGATCTAGGGGAAGAGTGGTAAACCTAATTTTGGAGCTAACACTTGAAAATAGGTAGAATTTTCTAGAGAGGAGGGACACATTGAATTTGTTTGTTTAATGCAAATAGCAAGAAGAGAAGGTGCCTATGAAGGCGACAGCTGAACTGCATATTGCATCAGAGTCTCGGGAAATACCAAGAATGGCTCTTTCCAATTCTCTTTGCCCAGGAAACTCTTGTGCCAGGTAGGACCACAATGGAGGATGGGATAATGCTTATAGGAGGGCATTTGGAACCAATCTTTGACTATAGTGACTTGAAGATTTTGATAGTAGTATCAAGACATAACTTGCAAGTCTTTGTCACAACATAAGCTCTGATACTGATGAAGGAAGACGGAATACAGACTTCTTTCTATTAAAAAAATAACATGTCTTAAATAATCAAATATAATTTTTAAAAGATAAAACCACCCATTTCTACCACCAAGAGATTACTGCTGTTAACATAAGTATATTCTTCTGTGTTCTGTTTTTGTTTTGTTTGATGAAAATGAGTTTACCATTTTGTAATCTACTTATACTGTTAATGTTATATCTATTATCAAATATACTTGTATAACAATTTTAATGACTAAAGGTTTTATCTTAAAACATTTGGATTGACAGTAATAGAATATTTTCTTTATCATAGAGGAAAGATTATATTTGTTGAAAAACCCTGTTGGACCTTTAAGATAATTCTTTCTTTGGGTACTGAGCACATGTTTTAAAACAAGTTTCTTTCCAGGGAGACTTCATTTGCAGAAAACATTTGGCAAGAGCAACCTCATTCTAAAGGTGAGTTGTATTTGACTATCTCATGAAAAACTTGCTGATAACAAACACATTATGTAATATGTAGTATATATTTTTCTTAAGTATGGTAAAGGGAATTGTAAGAAGACTGAAGAACCATGGAATTCAGTTATAAGTGTATGATTTAGGATAAGATAGACATTTAAGAGAGTGTAAGATTCCTCAGTGCTTTGAAATGTCTAGTTTAAATGTAAATTTATATTTATATTAACTACTAAATAATCTTCCACCTGAGCTAGTGTACACTGAGCTATCAGTAGGATCCAGCAGCCAAGAAAGTAGTTTTTTGGAAGAAAGGAAAAACTTAAAACTAAAGCTATTTTATATTCACATTTGTTCTCTTTTCATTTAAAAATGTGTTAAAAGTGGTTAAAGATAAATATCCACCTATAAGTAGTTTTAAAAAAAAGAATCTGATTAACCCTCTAATCCTAACCACCAGTTTATAGGAAATACAAAGCCTGGAGGAACATGTTAAACAACATAGGAGGCTGTAATTGGCAAAATATCCAGCATTATGGAGCAAACAATGTAGTTTCTTCAACAAAAAATTACTAAAACAACCAACAAACCCTATAGAATCAAAGTAATTTAAGGGGCACCTAGGTGGCTCAGTTCCTTGAGCATCTAACTTAATTTTGGCTCAGGTCATGATGTCACAGTTCATGAGTTTGACCCTTGCCTTGAGCTCCACACTGACAGTGCAGAGCCTGCTTGCTTGGGATTCTCTTAACCCCTTTTGCCCCTCTCCCTACTCATGAGCTCGCTCTCTCTTTCTCTCTCTCAAATAAAATTGAAAATTAAAAAAGGGTCATTTCAACCACAGGATATAAATTTTACTTTGCATTCCCAATCCCAACTTTATAAATAATTTTGGTAAAATGTGAATCTTCTGATGGATATATGATACTCAGAAATTATTAATCCTTTAAAAAAAATTTGTTTTTAATGTTTTATGTATTTCTGAGAGAGAGAGAGAGAGAGAGACAGCGTGAGCAGGGGAGGGTCAGAGAAAGAGGGAGACACAGAACCTGAAACAGGCTCCAGGCTCTGAGCTGGCTGTCAGCACAGAGCCCTACGTGGGGCTCGAACCCACAAACTGTGAGATCATGACCTGAGCCAAAGTCAGACGCTTAACGGACTGAGCCACCCAGGCACCCCAGAAATTATTAATCCTATAGGTATGTTTTGAGATTATGATCTTTTGAATGAGCCTCTCTCTTTTAGAAATATATATTGAAATATTTACAGATGAAATGATGTGATATCTTGGATTTGCTTTAAAATAATCAAGAGCAGGGGCACCTGGGTGGCTCAGTCAGTTGAGTTGCCAACTTCAGCTCAGGTCTTGATCTCACGGTCTGTGGTTTCGAGCCCCACATTGGGCTCTGTGCTGACAGCTTGGAGCCTGGAGCTACTTCATATTCTCTGTGTCTCCCTCTTTCTTCTCCCCTCCCCTGTTTATGCTGTCTCTCTTTCTCAGAAATGAATAAACATTTAAAAAAAATTTTTTTCTTTAAATAAAATAATCCAGAGTGAGGTTGGGTTTGGGAAGTAGGGGTAGTGAATAAAGATGATAGTTGTTTTTAAATGATCTGTGCTTTTATATGCTTGAAATTGTTCATTATAAAAGACAGATTACCTTTCTGCTTCCAAATAGCACTAAATATTAATTGTCCTAATTGTCCTGAAGAATAGGTATTTACTCTTAAGAGTATAAATCTGTTCTCTTTTTCTATAGGTCCCAGTCTACCTTTCTCCATTTTTGATGAGTTTCTTTCGGAAAAAAAAAGTAACAGGTTGGAAGCTTTTAGTTTTGTTTTGACACTTGAACGTCTTCTGTTATTATAAATGAGGATGAATTAGGGGGTTATTCTTATTTATTTTGACAGAAAAATTGTTAAATGGGGTAAATTAAATTAAATTGTTAAATGTCGTTTTCCAGTCCTCCTGCAGATCCCCCACGGGTTTTAGCCCAACGCAGACCCCTCGCAATTCTAAAAACTTCAGAAAGCATCAACTCAAATGAAGATGGGTCTCCAGATGTTTGTGTAAGGAACAATATTCCTAAGTTAATGTAAACAGACTGGTAAATTATTTCATTCAGTTCTCACAAAGTTAGGGTTAAGATTAAAATCACTGCCTTAAAATTTAAGCACATGAACAGACACCATCATTAGTCATTGGGGTATGCAAATCAAAACCACAGTGAGATACTACTTCACATGCTGTAATCGATAGCTATGAAGGCTATAATCAAAGACAGAAAATATTAAGTATTGGTGAGAATGTGGAGAAATTAGAACCCTCATACAATGCTGGTAGGGATATAAAATGGTACAGCCACTTTGGAAAACAGCTTGGCAGTTCCTCAAAATGTTCAACATAGAGTTACCATATGTATGACCCTGCAATTCTCTCCTAGGTATATATCCAAGAGAATTAAAAACATACTTACATTAAAAAGACTTGTACATGAATGTTCATAGCAACATTATTTAGAATAGTCAAAAAGTACAATGCAGTGTACATCAACTAATGCATAAATAAAATGTACATCCATACAATGGAGTACTATTCAGCTATAAAAAGAAATGCTATACTGATAAATCTTATGATCTAGATGAGCTTTGAAAACACTTTGCTGGGGCACCTGGGTGGCTCAGTCGGTTACGTGTCCAACTCCTGGCTTCATGGTTCGTGGGTCATGATCTCACAGTTTCTGGGAATAAGCCCCAGGTGGGGTTGACAATGCACAACCTGCTTGGGATTCTCTCTCTCCCTCTCTCTCTCCGTCCCTCCCCTGCTCACATGTGTGCATGCACACACTCTTTCTCTATCAAAATAAATAAACTTAAAAAAAAAAAAAACACTTTGCTAAGTAAATTAAGTCAAACAGAAAGACCACATACTGTATGATTGCATTTATATGAAATGTCTAGAATGGGCAAATCCATAAAGACAGAAAGTAGGTTAGCGATTTCCAGAGAATAGAAAGAGGGGGTTAGAGAGTGACTGCTACTGGGTAAGTGGTTTCTCTTGGGGTGCTGAGCACGTTCCGGGGTTAGACAGTGGTGATGGTTGCACAACCTTGTGAACACACTAAATACCATGGGATACATGCTTTAAAGGGGTGCAGTTTTTGGTAATGTAAATTACATCTCAATTTTTTTTAGTGGAGAGAAAAATCACTGTCTTTGAAAAGCTTTTAGCATTGTTTTTAAGCCAACATAGCAAAGGATCTTTGTTCTTTTTATATAAGATGCTTTTTGTGGCATTTGAAGGGTTATGTGGACCAACCATTTTTCTTTAGTACTGTTTTATTTTAAGTACTGTGGAAGTAGTGACATGATAATCCTTAGAGTAAAAAGACCCTGCATAGAATTCAACTCAAAGAACCTTTATCTTTGATATTTCATTAAAGTTCTAGGGAAGCAAATCATCCCTCTCTTCAAACCAGGATCTGGAAACTTGTCTTGAGGTTGAAGAGAACTGATTATTTTATCTGAAGACTTTTAAGGGGAGACGTGATCAGTAGCTATGATTTAAATCAGTGTGTTCTCTATATCCTATGGAAGAATCCCTCAGGGTAACTTTTTTAAACATGGTTTTCTTTTTATTTATTTATTGAGATATATTTTATATCCAACAAACTGCACAAATAGTAATTGTACAGCTAGGTGAATTTTTACATATGTGAATACCCATGCAGTCTCCACCCAGATTAAGATATAGAACATGTCCAACAACCTAGAAAAGCCTAGGCAGTTGCTTATGGCTAAAGGTGCCGAGACCCTTTTCCAGCTGTACTGAATTGGAATTTCCAGGGATAAGTCCAAGCATGGAATTTTGTTTATTTTAAATACTTTCCAAAATAATTTTGTTAGTCCACCAACTGCTATGAAAAGAAAAGGACATAGGAGATTAATGATTTACATACTGTGTCCTGGAGTCACACCAGACAACACTATGAATAGGTCAGCTGGATTTGGAGACAGTGGTTCTAGTTTCAGGTACTCAGGGATGGACTGAATAGTTAAAGGAGTCAATTTTAATATTGTTGTACCTTGCGCCTTTTACTTGAATTTTGTTAATAGGTGCTCACCAAGGGTGGGTGGGTGGGGGCATGGGCTAAAGGGGAGATGGGCATTAAGGACGGCACTTGTTGGGATGAGCACTGGGTGTCGTATGTAAGAGATGAATCACTGGGTCCTACTCCTGAAAACAAGACTAGACTACACTATATGTTAACTAACTTGAATTTAAATTTAAAAAAAAAAAGAAAGGATGCCTACCAGAATTTCTCCCCTAAGAAAACACTTCTATTTAAAATGTCTAGGGGCGCCTGGGTGGCTTAGTCGGTTAAGCGTCCAACTTTCGCTTAGGTCATGATCTCGCGGTTTGTGGGTTCGAGCCCTGCGTCGGGCTCTGTGCTGACTGCCAGCTCGGAGCCGGGAGCCTGTTTCAGTCTGTGACTCACTCTCTCTCTGACCCTCCCCTGTTCATGCTGTCTCTCTCTCTCCTAGAAATAAATAAAACAAAACAAAACAAAAAAAATGTCTAAACTAGGGGCACCTGGGTGGCTCAGTCAGTTGAGTGTCCAACTTCAGCTCAGGTCATGATCTCATGGTTTGTGAGTTTGAGCTCAACGTTGGGCTCTGTGCTGACAGCTCAGAGCCTGGAGCCTCCTTCAGATTCTGTGTCTCTCTGTCTTTGCACCTCCCTCGCTCTTACCCTGTCTCTCTCTCTCAAGAAATAAATAGACATTAAACAATTTTTTAAAATAAATAATAAATAAATAAAACATCTAAACTAATAGGACATATAAGTAGTATTTGCATAAAGTATATTCTTAGACTATAGACATCTATCTTCCTTTGATCTTAAAATTTTTTAGCTACATTTATTGTTTTATCTGCATGTACCTCTCACCTCTGTTTACTAACATTGAGTCAGAAATTCAAAGTATATGTCAAATTCATAAACTAGAAAATTCATATCCAGTATTCATAGCATTAAATGAAATGAGCACTCTTATATACTGAAGGTCAATATTACATAAAGTGATACAGTCTCCCTGAAGGCAGCTCAGCAGTATATATAAAGAACCTTATTGTTCATAATCTTTTTGACCTGATAATTCTCCTTTTAGGAATTATTCCTCAGAAAACTAAGATATCCCTAAAGATTTAAATGTACAGGGATATTTAGGGGCGCCTGGGTGGCTTAGTCGGTTAAGCGTCCGACTTTCGCTTAGGTCATGATCTCGCGGTTCGTGGGTTCGAGCCCCGCGTCGGGCTCTGTGCTGACTGCCAGCTCAGAGCCTGGAGCCTGTTTCAGTCTGTGACTCCCTCTCTCTGTGACCCTCCCCTGCTCACGCTGGCTGTCTCTCTCTCTCTCTCCTAGAAATTAATAAAACATTTAAAAAAAAAAAAAGCCCCAAGACTTTTTAATAGCACAGAAGATAGGCTAAAAGTATAATGAGGAAGAATAATACATACTAGCATATATGCTATCATTTCACTTGCTATAGAACCCCTTTCAATTTATTTTTTAAGTAGGCTGCATGCCCAACGTGGGGTTCAAACTCCAGACCCTGGGACCAAGAGTCACATGCTCCATGAACTGAGCCAGGCAGGCACCCCTAAACCCGTTATTTATTTACTGATTTTTGTTTTATATAATTTATTGTCAAATTAGCTAACATACAGTGTATACAGTGTGCCTTTAGCTTTGGGAGTAGATTCCCGTGATAACGTCGCTTACATACAACACCCAGTGCTCATCCCAATAAGTGCCCTCCTCAATGCCCATCACCCATTTTCTCCATCCCCATCAACCTTCAGTTTGTTCTCTGTATTTGAGAGTGTCTTATGTAAAACTCCCTTTTTTAAATCTATAGAATATGCTTATGCATGTTAGCTACCAGATGTACATGGTAACAACAGTTGCAGCTGGGGAGTAGTAATTGGAGTGGAAGTATGGGGGTCAAGTGAGGGAGGGAGATCTTTTCACTATATATCCGTTCAAACTAGTTGACTTTTTAGACCATATACATATAATACCTTTCTTTATTTATTTTGAGAGAGCAAGCGACTTGGGGAGGGGCAGAGAGAAAGGGAGAGAGAGAGAATCCCAAGCAGGCTCCGCACTGACAGTACAAAGCCTGACTCGGGCCTTGAACCCACGAATAACCTGAGCCGAAGCCAGATGCTTAACCGACTGAGCCACCCAGGCTCCCCTGCATGTATTGTTTTTAAAGACAAAGGAATATTTTAAATATTTTTCATTTTTTATACTTGATGCTTTGTTTTCTATATTTTCTACTATGACCATGAATTATCCTTAAGAAATAAAATAAAAATTCAACATTTGGCATAGAAGACCACTTAAAGGGCAGGAGGATAGAGGATTATCAGAACATTTTCTAGGCCAAAGCCAGCAGAAAAAACGTATTATTCCTTTAGTTCTTAGGTGAAATTGGTTGGAGGAAAAACATTGTCCAGTATTTTTCCTTTGTGTGGAGAATCCTCACTGTATTTTTTTGGTAATACATAGTTTGCTGTTTCCATGATACAAAACCTTTTTCCTCAGATGTTATGATGTGCTTTTTAAAATAGTCTTTCCTAGAGATTCTGATATACTACTTCTGTACCCTATGTTGAAAATCCCTTATCTAATGTGTGTCTAAGTAAAAAAGTCCTCCATATGCTCATCGAAATATTTCAGCTAAACTCTTTGTGGTTTTTATTTCAGGATGAATTTACAGGAATTGAGCCCTTGAGTGAGGATGCTATTATCACAGGTTTCAGGAATGTAACTATATGCCCTAACCCAGAGGACACTTGCGACTTTGCGAGAGCAGCTCGGTTTGTATCCACTCCTTTTCATGAGATAATATCCTTGAAAGATCTACCTTCTGATCCTGAGAGACTGCTGCAGGAGGAGGATCTAGATGTGAAGATCTCCGAGGATCAGCAGACAGCTTGTGGCACCATCTATAATCCAAGTCTCAGCATCAAGAAGCTCAGGTGATTATAGGTTGCATAACCAGATTGTTTGGTCTTTTATTCTGTGTGTGCTTATCAGTTGATAGCGATCATTTATCCAGCTCTTACCTACCTGCCACGAACTGTGCTCAGTGCTTTACATGACAGAAGGATTCCCCCTGAAAAGTGTCAGTGGGATTTAGTAACTGATTTGAATATGAGGGTGAGAAGAAGTAAATTGTGATTTAGTGGGATTTAGTAACTGTTTGAATATGAGGCTGAGAGGCCCAGGAGGACTATGGTGTCTTTGAGGAAACTTGGCAAAGTGTACCTCTTTGGGAGAGATTTTGTTTTTCCTTTAATATTGAGTTTTAAATAATGGTAGAATATGGGGCGCCTGGGTGGCTCAGTCGGTTAAGCAGCCAGCTTCAACTCAGGTCATGATCCTGTGGTTCACAGGTTCAAGCCCCACTCTAATCTCTGTGCTGACAGCTCAGAGCCTGGAGCCTGCTTCGGATTCTGTGTCTCCCTCTCTCTCTGCCCCTCCCTCGCTCATGATCGCTCACTCTCTCAAAAAAAAATTAAACATTAAAAAACATTTTTAATGGTAGAATAGCTTGATACACTGATTTCAGATAAGCAAGTAGAAATGTACTTTTTAAAGTATCTTTTAATGGAGAGGTGGAAATGAATAACGAATGGTATTGAGGGAATGGCATAAAGAGCCATGGACTAACTGTATTTAAAAGTTGGCAAATTTAAACAAACTAATTTTGTTTCAGGAATATTCTTTAATTTGCCGATTTATGCTTTTATAACTGCATTTTCAGATTTTTTTCCCAACAAACTTGTTATCACATTTGCTAGCATTACATTGAGTGATTTGGGTTTCCCTTTCTCTTGACCTTTTCTTAATGAAGAGTAAGAAGTCCACAGAAAAGATAGACAAGAAAAAAATTGGTATCTTAGTCATTGTTTCCCAGTAGTTTAGAATAGATGTAGATTAGGCATTTAGTATGGATTAGGTAAATAAAGCATCCATTTAGAAAATCTAATGCTGAGCATTGCTTGTCTGCCAAGGTAGATAAAGTCACCTAGATTTTGATTATGAATCTATATCTGTTTCAGGAGAATAATGGACTTTGAAAATTAAACTAATGAATATTAAGTAAAGTAACGAAGATTAGTTAATATATATTACCTCTATGAGGACTGACTCATTTGTGGTTCTTTCAGCCCAATCATCGAAGACAGCCGAGAAGCCACACACTCCTCTGGGTTCTCTGGGTCTTCTGCCTCAGTCACAAGTTCGTCCTCCATCAAATGTCTGCAAATTCCTGAGAAACTGGAGCTTACCAATGAGACTACAGGTAGCATGGCATATCCCACTTGTAAGCAAACATACATCTGCCTCCGTGTCTGGTGAACACTTAACTTATCTCCGCAAACTGAGCTTTATTTTTTATTCTCTAGAAAAGTTGCCATAAATTGTGAAGCTTCTAGAATGAATCAGTACCAACTGAACACTGTAAAGACCTGAAATATGAGTGTTGTTAGGTTAGCAGTGTTGACTATGCAGTCTCCCCCCCCGCCCCCGTTTATAATACACATTTTGGGGGTGATCTTTTTGTCAACTTTTTTTTCCTGCAGACAACCCTACTCAGTCACCCTGGTGTCCACAGTATCGCAGACAACTACTAAAATCTCTATCAGAGCTTAGGGCCTCTGCAGAATTTTTTGTAGAAGACAGACCAATGCCTAAGTTGGAAATAGAAAAGGAAATTGAATTAGGTAAGTATCATTCAATGCGTAGGTTTTTTTGTATGACAGCATACAAGTAAGTGATTATTTGTACTTGAGCTTGATGTTTGAGCACAATAAATATTTTTAGACTATAAGAAACAGCATTACGGGGCCTCCTGGCCTACTCAGTCAGTAGAGCATGTGACTCTTGATCTCAGGTAATGAGTTCAAGTCCCACATTGGGGGTAGAGTTTACTTAATTAAAAAAAAAATACTGCTTTAACATACAGAAAGAAACAGCATTATAGAGTCGACACACTGATAAGTTAATGTCCCAGTAACAATAGGGATTCTGTCTTCCCTTCTTTCAACTTTTAACAAATGATTTTGAAAAGTATTCTAGATGCTACTAAATGGCAAATACAAAGTGCCTTTAGCCCTTAAACCAGGAAGTAAAAGGTAAGGGGCTATCCATATTCCCAACGATTTTTAAATGGAATCTTACCGTCTCAACAGGTCATGAAGATTATTGCATTAAACAAGAATACCTAACATGTGAAGATTATAAATTATTCTGGGTGACACCAAGAAACTCGGCAGAGTTAACCATAATAAAGGTGGGACTGGTTCTTTGTCATTTTAGTTGCCTTGTAAAAAAAATAATGTGGGCTGGAGCAGTAATTGTGGCCCCATGGTACCAGCAGATCCTTTGAATAGTCTATCAGCTTCCTGATAGAAAAGTCAGTGAGACGCCAAAAAAATCACTCACCATTCTATGCCAGGATGAGATATCAAAAATGAGAGGTTATTGTGTAAATCTCTTAATATGTCCAAACATACTAAGTGTTTATCAATGTTATCTTATTTAGGAAATATCCTGAAATCTTCTGGCCTGCTTCAGTCAGGATAAGTTACATTCTGTACTTGACACACACACATGCGCACACACACTCAAACAATATTACCTTGACATTTCCATTCACCATTATCCTAGGGACTCATGTTACGTCTTTCGTATATCAGATGCCCAGTAATACTAGCTCCCATTTTTATTTCTTTCTTGGTTTAAGCCCTCCTATTTTAGTAGCTTCCTGAGAAAGGATGCATAGGATATACATTGTTTTTGAAACCTTTCATGTCAGAAAATTCTTTATTCCACATCTATACTTGATTGGTAGTTTGGCTGACTATTAGAATCCTAGGTTCAGAAGTTTTTTTCCTTAGAATTTTGAAGATAGGCTTTATTATCTTTGGCTTGTGGCCTTGCTTTTTAAAGTCTTTTGCCATTCTTTGTGTGAGACTGTTTTTCTCTCTCTGGGAATCCTTGTAGAATCTTAAGTTTGTCCCCAGTATTCTGAAATTTCACAATTATGTTATGTTTTGGTAAAAATCTATTGTCGCTCATATGCTAGACACTGGATGGCCATTTCAATCCAGAAACTCCTTCAGTTTTGAGAAATTTTCTTCAAAGAATAAATTATTTGTTTTCAGTCTTCTCTGTTCTCTCTACAATTCATTTTATTAGGACATGGGGTCTCTTAGAGACCCTTTAAAAGTCTTATCTTTTTTCTCTTTTTCTCTTTTTTTTCTTCCTGGAATGTTTTGTCAACTTTATTTTCAGAACTCTTATTGGATTTTTTTCATTTCTTTTGTCATGCATTTGATTTGTAAGAGCTCTTTTTTATGTTTTGGTAATTTTTTTCTTCTTGGTAACATTCTGCTTTTCATTTCAAAGGTAGAATATTCCTTATCTCTCTGAGTATATTTACGATGCTTTAAATTTTTTTTCTCTGTGCATCATCTGTTTCCTTTTGTCTGTTTTGAACTCAGTCTTTCATATTAGAGGCTGTCTTCAGGTCTTTGGCCCTCTATTCATATATAAGCGTGGGACTCTAAAAGCTAATTGAAAGCTCTTTGATATAGGACCTTGACAGCTGTTGGGCCTCACTATAAGAAGAGTTCTCATGGCCATTCAATAAAATTCCTCAATCCTTGAGGTCTTTTCTTTTGAGCTTATCAGATCCTCCAGAGAAAACTTCTGATTTCCTGCCTAAATCATATAATCCTGGCTGCTAGCTTGAAACTAAGTAGGAAAATTAGTCTGGAGAGTGGAGAGGTGGAAAGGTGCCATCTTAACATTTGATATATAAACTTTTTCCTCTTCCACCTGACTCTCAGTGCTTGGTGTCCTCTAGTCCAGAGCCCTTCTGTTTTATACTCTTCAGGGTTCAACTTTTGGTCTTCTAGAATGGAGGAGAGGCAGTTAGGCTGGGCTAACAGGAGCAGCAGTGGGGAGTCTGGGGCCTAACTTCCACATTAATAGAGTTCATCCATTGCCGTATTGGCTCCACCTCCACCCCTCTGTAGGTTAATTGGTGCCATCAGTGTTATACTGTGGGGAGATGGTCTTGTAGCATAAACTTGGTTGCTCTCAGCTTTCTCCACTGCTACGATCAGCTTTCCTTGGGTCTGCTAAGTGGGTTACCTCTTACTGTGCAGCTTCCAGAATTGGTTGCTGCTGTGTTTTTTATTATAGATTTATGACTTTTTAAAACATTCTTTTATTGTTATTTCTGGGTATCATAAGGGCTGGAGGGAATGTTTACAATCTACCAACCATAACCATAGATTCTGATAGCTCTTATTTTTAAAATTTCTTACAGGTGTCCTCTCAACCTGTCCCATGGGACTTTTATATCAACCTCAAGTTAAAGGAACGTTTGAAGGAAGAGTATGATCATCTGTGCAGCTGTTACCAATACCAAGATGGTTGTATTGTTTGGCACCAGTATATAAACTGCTTCACCCTTCAGGTTTGAATAATATAAAAACATACTTGTATCCCCTTTATCAAATGAATTTAGTGCAAGATTTCTGTTACTCTTCTAGAAATAGATCAGTTAAATTATAAAGGAGTCCCTGGGTCTCTCAGTTGGTTAAGCTTTGACTCTTAATTTCAGCTCAGGTCATGGGCCCACAGTTGTGAGACTGAGCCCTCTGTCAGGCTCACGCTGGCTGTGGAGCCTGCTTAGGATTCTCTCTGCCCCTCCTCTGCTCATGTGCGCTCTGTCTCTCAGAGCAAAAAAATTATAAATTAAAAGCATTCATCATTTTCCTTTCCTAAGTTATCTTGACCAAGAACTTCTTTGGTATTTTTTAAAATTTTTACTATGTCGGCTTTCAAACATAGACAAAAATAGAATTGTGCAATGATCCAGTCATCTAACTGTGACCATCATCAGCTCATGACCACTCTTATTTTAAATTCCTGGTGTGATCATTCCAGTATTCTTTCCATGTCTGGTTTTGATGCTCATTTTGTCTCTTCAAATTGTGTTTTTTGCCTTTCAGTGTGTCTTATAATTTTTCTTGATTGCCAGACATGATGTACTGGGTAAAAAGAACTGCTATAAATAGGCCTTTAATAATGTGATAAGGTGTGAGGGGAAGGAAAGCGTTATAAAGTTCTATGATTTATGTTCTTTTATAGTGAGCCTGTGCCTCCGGACTGTGTACTTCTCAAGTATTTCTCCTCCCTTAGGTGGGACAGGATGGCTAGAGTGGGCTGCAGTTGGGTATTTCCCTTCCACGGGTCAAGTAGGCTCTGATAATATTCCAGCAGGTTAGGCTCTGGTCAACTAGTTTCACCTGAGACAGAGCTTTTTTTTTTTTTTAATTTTTTAATGTTTATTTTTTAGAGAGAGACAGACTGAGCATAAGTGGGGGAGGGGCAGAGAGAAGGAGACACAGAATCTGAAACAGGTTCCAGGCTCCGAGCTGTCAGCACAGAGTCTGACGCGTGGCTCAAACCCACAAACTGTGAGATCATGACCTAAGCCGCCGTTGGACGCTCAACCAGTGAGCCACCCGGGCGCCCCATCCTGAGAGAGAGCTTTTTAAGAACAGAGTGCTCTGGCCTATTTCAAAATGGTTCCTCTTCCGTTCCCTGTCTAGAAGCACAGTGAGAATTTTTCTCCAATATTTAGTGTGAGAACTGGATCTAGCTCCTAGACATAAAACTCACAGAAGTATGAGGGACCTTCCTCCCCCACCCCCCACCCCCTGCCCCCATGCTTATAGATCCTAGAAGAGTTGATTTTCAGTCTTTTAAGCTTTTTACTTACTAGGACAGAGTGGCAGTTTCCAAACTCCTTACATAAGGAATGGTCTATTTTTGCTACTCTTGTTTTATGTATGCTATCCCCTACTAGATTATTTTTAGAACCCAAGCACAATATATCATACTGTTCTTTGGAATGTCCCTAAGAAGGTGTTGTTGCATATTTTGATGGTAATACGAATTCTCTAAAATGATTGGAATGAAGCTACCATTTATAGAGCACCTATTATGGGCCTGGGCTAATCCTTGATGTTCTTCACCCATTCTTTTATCATACCCTTACAGCCTTATAGGAGAGCAATGTTAACAGTGGGACAAAGACCCAACCTACAGAGGAGCCCAAATTCTAGTAGAAAAAGACAAGGAAGAGTACAAAGCAGCAGGTAGCAAGGTATTGAGTTTAAGTACAGTCACCCCAACTTAAGTAGTGAATTTTCTGTCCTTTTGTTTCCAGGATCTTCTTCGACACAGTGAACTTATTACCCATGAAATAATAGTGTTGGTTATTTATAACCTTTTGACAATAGTGGAGAAACTACACAGAGCAGAAATAGTCCATGGTGACTTGAGTCCAAGGAGTCTGATTCTTAGAAACAGGTTGGTCCTTTTCATTCTCTCATAATTCTGTCAACTTTCTCTTAAAATGTGGATAGTTTCTGGGGCAGCTGGGTGGCTCAGTTGATTAAGCAGCTGACTTTGGCTTGAGTCATGATCTCATGGTTTGTGAGTTCCAGCCCTGCATCAGGCTCTCTGCTGTCTGTGCAGAGCCTGCTTCAAATCGTCCGTCCCCCTCTCTCTCTGCCTCTCCCCACCCCCACCCCCATGCACGTCCACACATTCTCTTTCTCTCCCATAAATAAACATTTAAGAAAAATATGGATCGTTTCCAATTCCTTTTGCCTTTTGATAAATGCCGTATTGAAGAACACAGTATGTTAAGAGAGTTGTTTGCTATGTAAAAGTCAATAATCATTTGGAATAGTTTAAAAGAATTCAAAGAAAAAATACATTGAGGAAACATTAATTCATAAAAAAGAATTAACCTCTCAGTGTTGTGATGATTACTGTCAAAAAAGAGATATAAAATATGAATATTTGGAGGGATATGAAGTAGATTGTGTCATCTTTGAATGGGGCCAGTGAAGATTCTAGTAAAACTGAAGCACTTCTTGGTTTCAAAACAAAGCTTAATTAAGTCAAGCCAGACTGAGGTAATTGCCAAGAAAAGTGGGTAGAACCAGAGTGCAAATGTAAACTATGCCAAGAAAAAGGGCTTAGTGTTCAAATTAAACCCAGTTTAGACATCACGTTCAAGGGGTGAGCACAGAGCAGTAAATACATAATTTTACGATGGCCAAAAATGTATCTTGTGCCAAGGAGAAATGGGAGCAAATGTAAATTTTTTTGCTTTTTTTTTTTTTTTTAAATATTTATTTTTGAGTGAGCAATAGAGACAGCATGAGCAGGGGAGGGTCAGAGAGAGAGGAGGGAGACACAGAATCTGAAGCAGGCTCCAGGCTCTGAGCTAGCTGTCAGCACAGAGCCCGATGCGGGGCTCGAACCCACGAACCGTGAGATCATGACCTGAGCAGAAGACAGAAGCAAAACCGACTGAGCCACCCAGGTGCCCCAATTTTTTTTTTCTTTTTAAGCTTTTATTTTTAAGTAATTTCTTTTTTTTTTTTTTTACAAATAGTTTATTGTCAAGTTGGTTTCCATATAAGCAAATGTAAATTTTAAAATAAAATAAATCATGTGATGGGATTAGTCAAAGCCTATATTTAAGAATATAGCACCTATCACTGATCCTAATCATGGATTTGAAGGAACTGAGAAAAGCAGAGACAAAAGGAACACATGAGAATAATTCATTGTTTTCTCTCACATAAATAATTCCTGTGTCTCTTCGGAGAGTAGCTTTAATGCATGGAATGGATAATAAGGAAAATATAATTAATAGCGAATTAATGTCATAAAATTGTCTTTTGTTGTTTGTTTTTGGGAGTTTTTTAAGTCAATAACAATTGGAATTACAGATAAGAGTAAGAGAATATGGTGTTGGTTTAATAAAAACAGGACAGTTTACAGTATAGGTGACACCTTCCCAAAAAACAGCCTTATTTTGTTGTTTCAGTTAAATTCTGAAAAGGAGGAATCTGACACTTGGAAAGCCTAATCTGTAGCAATGAACAAGAAGGCCTATGACATCTATAAAAGCTTAATTTCTTCCATCATAATTCCTATCTGTGTAGAGCATTGCTATTGTACGTATTACTATGTCTAGTGAGACAGAGGATTGTACTCTATACTTTCAGTACTTATTTTATGTAATAAAGATAATATGATAAATGTTCTGTGATGGGTATACATTCTGATTTAGACGTATTTGTGTCACTGGACTAATCTCAACATTCCCCACTTAGGTGGACACGTCTGCTGCTCTTACAGGTGCATTTTCATAGCTAACCACTGGAGGGAGCTGTTGGCATAGCTAAGACACACCTGCAGTACCTTTTTTTTCCTTTTCTTTTTCTTTCTTTTTTTTTTTTTAAAGACCAGCTCTGCAGCTTCTTTCATGGCCTATTTTTATTATCTCTTTCTCTTAAATCTGGGCGTAGACTCCACGATCCCTATGATTGTAATAAGAACAATCAAGCTTTGAAGATAGTGGACTTTTCCTACAGTGTCGACCTTAGGGCGCAGCTAGATGTTTTTGTCCTCAGCGGCTTCCGGACTGTACAAATCCTGGAAGGACAAAAGATCCTGGCTAACTGTTCTTCTCCCTACCAGGTAAGTGTGAAACAAGGCTGAGCAAATATGGAAAGGGCTTCTTAATCTCTTTCTTATCTAGATAAACCATGAAAGATAGTGTTTACTCATATTTTCTTCCCTGGAATAGATGACCTAGTTTTCAAATAGCACCAAGTCAAGCAAAATGTACCATTTTTCTGTCATAACACTGAAGACTCTACACATACACGTGCAGACATACGACTAACTCAGTAACCTAAATGGCAGGGCCATTTCTTTTTTTTTTTTTTAATTATTTCTGAGAGAGAGAGAGAGACAGCATGAGCAGGGGAGGGTCAGAGAGAGAGAAAGACACACACACACTCACTCACAGAATCTGAAACAGGCTCTAGGCTCCCAGCTTGTAGTCAGCACAGAGCCCAAAGCAAGACTCAAACCACAAACTGTGAGATCATGACCTGAGCCGAAGTCAGACACATAACCGACTGAGCCACCCAGGCACCCCAGCAGGGCCATTTCTATCGCTTATCTGTGTGGTCTTTCATAAGTCATTTTCTGTAATCTTTGTAAAATAAGGAGAGCAGTCTGCTCTGTGTATGTCAGAATTGTTGGGAGGATTAAAGGGAATGATGTGTATAAGAGGAATGTTATGAGTGTACAGTGTTTTATATGCTAACATTATATACAAAAATCCCTTCTGACTCATCTCGGAGCATTTGGCATTCGCTGATGGAATATGTAGCATGAACTTAAACTGTCATGTGAACCACGTTTAGATCACAGCCATAGGCCATGCAAATTCAGTAGGTCTACAAATTTGAATTGGACAGTCCTGATATTTTTGTTGTTGAGGATAATTTTGTTCTCATCTTGTGTCCTTAGGGCATCCTAGAGTTAGCTCTGTTGATCACTTCTTTGGGGAGCTTCTCCCTTTACACTAAGGATAGGGAACAGTCTACTAAAATGTATATCATAAGATAAACTTAAACATCATAATAACTTTCAACTTTCTACATAAATAAATTGCCATGATAGTAGCAGAAAATTATTTTAGCTGATGGTGCTTTTTGTGATTTCAGGTAGATCTGTTTGGTATAGCAGATTTAGCACATTTACTATTGTTCAAGGAGCACCTACAGGTCTTCTGGGATGGGTCCCTCTGGAAACTTAGCCAAAATATTTCTGAGTAAGTATTGGTGATTTCAGGGTCTTTGACTCTCCAAATAATTTTCTCTTTTTCTTGGATGCCCTCTGCTTGGGCAGCTTTAGTTTTCTTAGTCCAAATGCCACGAGTCCATGAATTTCACCCAGTTTCCATTAGAGGATCAGTGGAGCATCTGGTGCAGGACAAACTGAGAATCAAACTCTTCAGACTTCGGACATCATTCTGGACCGAGCTGTTTCTTGGAGACTGTGACTATCATGACGCAAGTCTCTCAGTCTAAAAGTGTTAATAGAAATATTTCGTGAGAATGATTTTCTAGCCAATTGATGTTAGCCTTATACTCCTTTTTAATAGCTATTGTTATCAAAGTTAATAAGCATTTCTTGAAGAGAATTAAATTTCTAAATTATATACTAATTTTCGGCTATTATTTACTTAATGAATGGTCAGAACCAAAGCAGAGAACTGAATCTCTTTGGAGAAGTAAATGCTCCCTTACTAAGAGCTTCTTGGTCTTAGGACCTTAGTATTCCCTTAAGCTTCCTCCTAAAACTTATTAAATATCACGTGTTCCACTTGAGCTTATCATAGCTAATAACTTCCCAGAATAAGCTTCCCAATCTATCACTTATTGGTATGTTCTTTGGCTAAAAATAAAAAAAAAAAGACCATGTTGAGAATTTAACACCCCTTTTCCATTCCCCCTGCTCCCAACAAATTGGGTTTTTTTTTCTTATTTAATTCAGAATTTAGCCAGTCTTACTTGTCTCTTAAACATCCTTTAAAAATAGGCCTTAAATACAATATAAGATGTGTAGGATAGATTCAGGGATCTCTCATTGGTTATGGTCCTAGGTGGGTCTAACCCAAACACAAACAGGTAGGGGCAGCTGGGGTTGCCTGATAACTCTGCCTTATTAGAAGCTTCTCTAATTAAAGAAAGAAGTTACAAATATCATAGACTTCAGCAGTAGTGACCGCAGTCAAGCTTAGAATTCTCAGAAGACGGTGAAGATAATAGAACACTGGGCCGGAGGAGAGGGAGAACTGCTGTGTCTGTGATGACTAGACTTTAGGAAAGTTAGAGGAGAGGAGGAAAATTCGCATTTCTTCTCTTGTGCAACAGTGCTGCATCTTAGTGCACAGAGGAAATTTATAGATTCAGATCAGAGACTTTATGTGCATTGTATTATGGCTTTCCCCGCTACGGTAGTCTTTTTTTTTTTTTCTTTTACAGTTCCACCTGGGCTTTGAAAGGACTACTTGAATGAGCCCTAACCCTAGAGTTTCTAGCTATTACCTTAAATTATTTAGCGCATATATGTACACTGATTTAAACCCAGAATTCTTTTATGTGCCTAATCTTGATGGAAATGGTTTTATATGTTTTTAGGCTAAAAGATGGTGAATTGTGGAATAAATTCTTTGTGCGGATTCTGAATGCCAGTGATGAGTCCACAGTGTCTGTTCTGAGGGAACTTGCAGCAGCCATGAATGGGGTGTCTGACACCGCATTCCAAAACCACCTGAACAAAGCTCTGTGGAAGGTAGGGAAGTTAATCAGTCCTGGGGCTTTGCTCTTTCAGCCAGATAGGCAACCACGTCTCTCACAGATTCCTGCCTAAACCAATGGTTGTGTTGTGGAACATCGCCCGTGTATGCTGTTACTCAATTTAGGACACATTTAGATACACTACCAACACATGTCTCCTTTTTAGTAGAGGTACATTTCTAGGGTAACTCACCTTTTTTACATAGCACTGTATCTATTCTTGGCCTTGTCTAACTAACAGAGAACTGTTTTGTTCTTAATGGGCTCCATATGAATGGGTACCTTGTTATCATTTAATACATTTGTCTCTACTTTTCCCTGTACATTTTTCTTTTGTAATTTGTGACATGTACCCTAATCGTCGCTATGTATTTTTAGGCAATAAAATAGTGTTTGTTGAATTTGTGCTTCTAACATCTCATCTACTTTTTGCCATCGAAGACAATAAATGGCTTGGTTTCGCAGACAGGAGCTATTTTTACCATGGAAATGTATACACCCTAGGCATGGGACTGCTCTGATAGACTCATTCCTTCGGGTGCTCCTCACCTTCCACCAAGTGGTCTAGATTTATTTTTTTCCATGTTTTTTTAATTTTTTTATTTTTGAGAGAGTGAGCAGGGGAAAGGGAGACAAAGAATCGGAAGCAGGCTCCAGGCTCTGGACTGTTAGCACAGAGCCTGATGTGGGGCTGGAACTCACAGACTGAGATCATGACCTGAGCTAAAATCAGATACTCACCAGACTGAGCCACCCAGGCGCCCCTGAGTGGTCTAGATTTAAAAGCAGATAAAAGTATTTATATAAGACCAAATTTTCTTAAATTTCAAGTGGCAAAATTGTTTTGTTTCTGTTTTAATGTTTTTGTTTTTTATCCACCAGACCCTTTGGTCTGTGTATATAATCTAGTGGTGCTGTGGCTGTTGGGTCTCTTGATTAGGATTATGGCTGTTAGAAAGGAAGAGAAAAGGTTTTGAACGGGGTGTAGCAGCCTTTCAGAAATGGAATAATCACCATTCTATGACGTGCAGAATGACTTGGTGGGGCTTGATGAAAGAATGGAAGCAAGTTCTTTTGTTTGGAAAATTTGAAGAGAGAGAAGACCAGAATAAAGAGATAACTTGGAAGCATGTAGTAATTCGGGAGAGGCTAGATTCAAGTGAAGTATTGGACCTCCAAACAGAAGCACGAATTATACCTGGCCTTGGTGCCTGATTGTTTTCAGTTTTGTGTTGTTTTGTTTTTCACTCTAGTTGTCACTGTTACTGCTCTAAGTTTGCTGGAGAGCAGAAAATTCTAAGTATATCACAACTAAAAATATTTAACCATATATAGTTGAAGCACTGAAATAGGACTTGACTCTGAAGACAATCAACTTAGAGGTTTTTGCTCTTAACCAAAATACAGCTTTTCAAACATTTTCATGTTTGCTTCTCATACAACTGATGATGTAAAGTTATATATCTGTATCTTTATTGTAATTGGGCCCTTCTACGCCTCTGCTCTCATTTCTCAGTCCAACGCCTTGACACGTTAAAATCATGAGGCTGGACAGTAAATTTAGATTCTTTCTTAACATAGGCTTAGCTACCGTCTAGTGAATTCTTCAAGGACTTTGACAGCAAGCCTGAAAAACCACTGCTCTATAGATAAAGCTTTGTTTCTGAAATTCCACTCCGAGAAGAGAGAGGAGAAACTGAGGAAGTTCGTTATTAGAGAACTTGCAGCTGTTTTGTCACCTCTCCCTCCTTTCCCTCCCCCTCCCCAAGCCCCGACCCTGCTTTGTAGAGGGAAGAAGACAGGACCTGTGATGTCTCTCTCTCTTTTTTTTAATGTTTATTTATTTTTGAGAAAGAGAGAAATAGAGCATGAGCGAGGGAGGGGCAGAGAGAGAGGGAGACCCAGAATCTGAAGCGGGCTCCAGGCTCTGAGCTGTCAGCGCAGAGCCCGACACGAGGCTCAAACTCACGAACTGTGAGATCATGCCCTGAGCTGAAGTCGGACACTTAACCGACTGAGCCACCCACGTGCCCCAGGACCTGTGATGCTTAGTTTTTTCTTTGCCTGAGCATACGACCACAAAGTGGGTATATTTCCATTTCCCTTGAGTTTTATGCTTGTTTTCGTCTTTGGGGAAGGAAGCCTGTGTTTTGGCAGAAGCTTCAAATGGTTCTTAATTCTTGTCTTTACTAAGGCAGAAGTAGCATACATAACAAATGGACCTGGTAGGGGAAACAGCTGAAAAGACAGGATTTTTACTTTTGTTTGGAAAGAGACCAGGGAATATGTAGGGCCTCACCATTCACAAAGTATGCATCCAGTGATCTTCTACCACTGTGAGAGCCCTCATCTTCATGTGCCAGTTGAGTAAGAAACCTTCCCCCTAAGTCAAAGGGCTCTAACTGATGCCAAACCCGAATCTGGAACTAAAAAGGTTACCTATAGCAGTAGGACTTTAGACTGTTAGTTGAGCTATTACCTCAAGGTAGTTAAGAAAGCCTTCCAGATGGTTCTCACAAGCCTCTTTGAAATGACTCTTGTTGATGTGTTTAAAGTTTGTAAGCAAAGACACCAAAGAAAGGCTGCATCGGAAAAGGTGGGGTTCTTCCTCCCAACTGCACCAGCTCTTTTTTTTTTAAGATGACTTTATTGATTTAAGTAGAAATGATGCCATTAAGGAGATTACAGTTGTTGTTGTTGTTGTTGTTTTTTAATATACTCATTTTGAGAGACAGAGCACACATGCAGATGTGAGAGAGGGGCGGGGGGGTGGGGAGAATCTCCAGCAAGCTCCCCGCTTCCAGTGCTGAGCTGGACATAGGGCTCCATCTCCGGAACCATGAGATCATGACCTGAGCCAAAATCAAGTGTAGGAGCCTCAACTGACTGAGCCACCAGGCAACCCTGCACCAGCTGTTTCTAACATGCCAAATTTGCTTCCAGTCTGGCTCCTAAAATAGACTTCCCTAGTGAGGAAGATGTATTTAAAAAATTTTTTAAGTGTTTTTTTTTTGTTTGTTTGTTTGTTTTGAGAGAGAGTGAGAGAGAGCAGGGAAGAGGGAGAGGAAGAGAGAAAATCCCAAAGCCCAAAGTGGGGCTCGATCCCACAAACCCATGAGACCATGACCTGAGCTGAAATCAAGAGTCAGATGTTTAACCAACTAAGCCACCCAGGTGCCCCTAAAAAATTTTTTTTTCTTAATATGGTAAACTTTATGGGGTGCCTGGGTGGCCCAGTTGGTTAAGGGTCCGACTTTGGCTCAGGTCATGATCTCATGGTTCAAACACGATCTTCATGTTCAAGCCCTGCGTCGGCTCTGTGCTGACAGCTAGCTCAGAGCCTGGAGCCTGTCTTTGGATTCTGTGTCTCCCTCTCTCTGTGACCCTTCCCTGCTCGTGCTGTCTCTCTCTGTCTCCCAAAAATTAATTAATTAATATGGTAAACTTTGACCTTAATGAGGTCCTTTGTTCCACCCAAAGATACAAGAAGCCATGAATATTTAATAGGATAAAGGTGCATTTCAAATCAGTATGAGAAAAGGTGGGGTATTCAATAACTGGTGTTGAAACAATGGATTCAAGTTTGAACTCCATCACCGGTGCCACCACTTGTTCATACTTCCGTGCAAATTAGAAAAAAAAAAAACCCTTCCTCTAGTGGCTTCTGTACCTCACAGTGCCCTGTAGCTTTACCAGATTTTCACCCGCACTTCTGTCCACCGGTGCCCTTGTGCAGTGAAAACCTTGGACAGCCATCTGCAGTGGTCTTGCCTGTTCGCTGCTTAGCTGCAAGCAATCTCAGATTCAAAATGTTACTGTAAGAAAATTAAAACATAAAATACTAGATGAGTTTGTACTCTTTTGTCTTTGTGGCATAAAACTAAGATAAAAGCAAGAAGATTGCTATTTATTACTATAGTAGATAAAAACCCAAGTCTAATATGACTACCTATCTCTCTCCTCCCAAAAAAAAAAAAAAAAAATTGCCATAAACTGAAACTAGGAAAGATTACTTGCAACATAAATTTTCATCATCTTTCACTTGCATTATCTCAAGGTCTCATAACTGATCTCTGTGCTTCCGCCTCACCTCCAGAACCCTTACCACAGCCTAAGAGACCCTACCAGTGACCCCGCTATTCCCTGACCTCTTCCCTGACTCTCCTTTTCCTCGCTCCCTCCTCTCTAGCCGGTCCACCTCCTTGCTGCCCCCGAAACACGCCAGCTAGTCTCTCTCTTTATGGCCTTGTTGCTTACCATTTTCTTTCTTCTGCCTGTATCTTCACATGGATTACTCCCTTACTTCCCTTTAGGTGTCCTCTCAAATCTCCACCTTCCCACAGAGGTCTTCGCTGGCCATTCTATACACACACGTGCCACACGCGTACTGCTGCTACTTTCGGTCCCTCTTTGCCCTGCTTTGTTGTTTCCAAAGCACGTATCACAACCGTGTGTGTGTGTGTGTGTGTGTGTGTGTGTGTGTGTGTAAATTTTTTTTTCTGTATCCTGCTACTAGAATTTAACTTTCTTAAGGGCAAGGGTTTACTTGTTTCCCGTTTTAACCCCATTGCCTGAATGTATAAAATACGATAAAGCACTATTTAACCCTAAAGTACAAAGAAACTCTTCATAAATTTTTGAAAGCCAATAGAAATAGACAAAGAACATGAAGAGTCCACTGAAAAACATTTTAATGGCCAACTTACCTGAGATGTTCACCTTTCATTCTAAATTAAGTAAAATGCAAAATAAATCTGAAATTTGTATTATTCACATAGGAAATAGTTGAAAATTGTGTTTGTGAGGGGAAGCAGGTACTCCTATTATATTGTTAGTTGGAATACAAATTGTACATTATTAGAAGGTGATTTGGCAATATTTATTAAATTTAAATATTCCCTCCAGCTGAGAAAATTTTCTAAGAATTTATCTTAAAGAAACACTGACACAGGTACTCAAAGATAAAGCACTGTTTATATTGCTGTCTCCCCTGCTTCCAAGACTCATTAGTCCCAAAAGGATGATGATCAATATGACAGACCCCATGAAAATGAATCCTAGAACCAATGCAGAGGTGACATCAGACCATTTTTGTAGATTGTAGGAGTACCTTGGCAATGGTCCTGAAAGCCAGTGTTTCAGTTTGGCATGAGCCCATAGAGATGGCAGAAACCTGCATTAGGTTTTGAGAGATTAATTCCAGACATTTTCAGCTTAGGTTAAAAAAAAAAAGAAAAGAAAAGAAACAGAAGGGAAAAAGGTGATTACCTTTACTTTTAGGGAGAAGAAGGAATGAAGACTTTTACTTTTCAATGCATTTCTGAAGACTTTGACTTTTCAGTACGTTTTACACTTTAGAATTTTCTGACCATGTACATGTATTACTTTTTTCTTTTTTGTC